ATATTAATATCTGACACTTGTTAAAAACATTTCTGCATGTTGTGTAACACTGCATTATTATAATTTATCCATATGAAAACGTATTATATTTATAAAGCGGTTGTTTCCTAAAAACCTTACGAAGATTATATCGAAATCGAAATCTTTCTATATTATATAAGCAAATATAATTTCTGTAAGCAAAAATAACGGACAATTTTAACAGACGACGTTTGCTATTCTTTATGCAAAAGTTTACTGGCTATACATTTCTGATAACCTTGCTATAGTTAAGGTGGAAGGATATTGTATTATTATGAATAAGTAATGCAGAATCTTTGGTATAAGGTAATTAATTAGATAGAAAATATTTATAGAACCTTTAAAATGAGGAGCTGATGGTTATTTAAAATATAATAATTGATTTCTTATCATAACATACAAATCTTACATATTACAAAATTCTAGGTAAATTGTAAACGAACTTTTCATAAACACCTATGATAAAAATTTTACATAATCTATACCGGACGACTTACAGAGCACTACAAATTAAACGTCGTAAATCGAAATACGACTTGTTAGAAAAAACAGTGAAATAATCAGCTCTTCTTGCATAAATTTCTCGAGGCACTCATTTAACGGTGAAAATAACCTTGTCACGACGTAAATTTAATTTTCGCCTCTGAAATTTGTTGCCGATGTAGCGTCATGACAAGGTATAAGTTATTAAAACATTTTCAAAAGCGTACAATAATGTCAATTAAATATGGTGCCCTGGTATGATAATGAATTTATTACTTAAGCTGTGAGCTTGTTTTACTTTATTTCTTTCGCTCCGAAAAAACCTCACCGGAAATACAACAGATTAAAAATGGCAAATTAAATTGTTTGTAATCTGTCAAACCCATAAAAAAAGGCGGGAAACAAATTTAGCATTAAATTACGTGAATTTAATAAAACTGTCAGCGTTTAAAGTGCGATGCTAACATCAAAGAGATTTGTTTTTTGACAATTATTTACGGTGAACAGGTTTACTAATAAATGTCAGATAGGTTGGAGGCAGGAATATTGTCGTTTTACTAACAATTTATAAGCAGTTGTGATGTAAAGACTGTAAAAATTATAAAGCTGATATGAAATACAAACGGTCTGATGGATGGGGAAAGAAACTATAGTTTTATTTAGAATGTTTACATAACTAAAATTACTTTTACATACGACCTCACGTTTCAAATTCTTTCAAGCAGCCGACCCCACTTGACCATGACTTACATATGTGGTCATAGTGTTCTGCATATAAAACATTAGATTCATACTTTACTTATATATCAAAATAGTTAAAAGATAACAAGCGAGACATGACGACTTCTAAACAACGACTAGTTTACGGCACTCGCGCGGGAATCAAAAGAGCAAACTTTTTATAACAGCAATATGGTAATGTAATACAATGTCTGCCTATTTAAATAGCAAAAGTTAATAGTTGTCCATCCAAACATTATTAGGCATGTTGAAAATCCGCAATGCGACTTATCAATGCTTACGGTAGTATGCAGTGATGCGTTTCCTAACATTACGACAATGTGTACTTATCTTACCCTACTATTATTGTAAATGCAAAAGTTAGAAAGGAAATATTAGAATAGACGACGTATGCCTTATTTTAAAAGCAAAAAAGGCTATCACAAAACAAAGATTTAAGTGTCCATTCATTAAAGATTACAAAAAGATTTTTAATGTGATTGGCTTATAAAAAGTACGCAGGCAAAATAAGTTAAGACTTATAGTGCGCGAAGAGATACAAGTAAGTATAAATTTATTAAGAAACATTCAGCGACCGAAACGGCGAAATTAAGTTAACTAAAGTTTAACTAATTATAGCGTTTTAAACCGTTAAAGTGTTTTATTTAAATGTGTCCTACTCGCGTTAACTATAGACAGTATTTGACCATGTAGCTACTCAAAGGGTAGAGCAACAACACTGAACGCTCTCGTCGGGGATTCGAGTCCCATCCGCTTCATTTTAAAAGTGAAATACATATTTTGTTTATATAACCTAGCATATAATCAACACGTGAAGAATAATAATTATTTAAGCGCTAATAGAAGTATTTTTGAATACGAAAGCATTCGACGTCAGCATAAAATTATTCATATTTTCCGTCTTGCGGAACATAAGCAGAGTAGCTGTATTTTTGATACAATAGATTCTATCATATAAAACATATATCGACTGATTTTATTCCGTATCACTTCATTTCCTTTATACATAAAACAAATACCCTTAAGTCCCTCATAACCTGATCTGTGGGCCCTAGGGACAGAGTATAAATTACATAAGGGTAAGTCGTGACCGTATCTGTTGCTACGCCTAGATATACCTTTACCGAATGTACTTATTAAAATTAACAATTCGGACGCCCATATGACCAGAGGTGTTTTTAACCTAAAAAAAGGTAGAAATTAGGAAGTCAAACACATTTTTTTAAATATTTTTCGATAAAAGCTGGTCCTAACCAGGTCATAAATAACCACTCATGCACGAAGAAACATTTGACCTGTATAATGTTAGTAAATTTAGTGAATATAAACTCAAGATACGAAGCAAACTTCATATGTTAATATCGTCTAATAAGTTCAAAGACGTGAACTTTACCTTACTAGATTGGTTCGTAGTAGGTAGTTCGTGTATAAAGAGCCTTAGTGCGACACACAACCATCAATGTAACGACCGGCACATTTATACTAAGATTTCACAGCCAACTTTAAAATTTATAACTTGCCTTAGAGATAAGAAAGCAAGGTTTTCGAAGAGAATTTTAAAATTTTAGAACTGTGGCGATAAGGTCACTGTGTTTTCTTATGTAACTAGTTTTTACTCGCGGCGTCGGTCAAGTTTCTATGTATTTGTGCATTATTATTAAAATAATAGTAATTGCTGCTATTACCAATACATACTCTATTGAAATTCTCATTTTTCTGAGAAACATTAGTAATAAAACGATAATATTCAGCTAAGCGTACGATAGCATTATTGCAGAATAAATAGCATTTGTGTCGATTGTAAAATTTGACAAAATTTGCCCAGCCGCTTGAGCGCGAAGAAACTAAACAGAAATTACAAATTTAGATAATTATTTGCTGATTTTACGTCTCTAGAATAAGAGATATTTGCCATAATTTTGTACTACCGGAGTATTAAATAAAAATAGATTATAAATAAAAAAAATACGACTCGGGAAGGACTTGAACCGGCATCCTAAGCGTTCCGTGCTGTTGCTCTAACCAATTGACAGGGGTGTATGTATCAATAGCTTCAAAAAATTCAACGATAACGTGAAGGTCTCGGTAGCTCCATTGGTTAGAGCAACATCATCGGACGCTAGGATGCCGGTTCAAGTCGTTTTTTATCGATTTTTAATTACTATAGTGCCATCATGTGAAAAATATTATTTATTCATTATAAACAATTAAAACGACAATAGCCACTTACATGAATTGGAAAGAAGTACACAATAGAATTACACTTCAAAATAAGTTATGTATCAATTAAATTAGGACAAAATTTAATATTACATTTGAATTTTTATAATATTAAATAACATTTAGTGAACTAAGCCGATACTACGAGTACTATAGAAATGTCGGATTGAAAAGGTTAATTGTCACTTAAATGCGAAGCTTGGATCTATAAAGAGCAATAATTCTCATCGGCTTCTCACAATCCAATTAGGTGGCGGAAGATTAGCAATAATATCGTGTAAAGTGACGATGAAACAGGGCTTCGGGCTGTCTGCTGGCGTTATTTTGAAGTAAATGGTAACTTCGAATCCATTATATGGGGATGGACTAAGTCATTATCATCAGCTTTTGTTGGAATCTGTAGCCTCGTTGTAAAACTCTTTGCCTTGCGTTCCTTTAAACGCAAGCATTTGTTCCTCCTGAAAATTATATATTATTCTGTACAATACATGATATTCAGGATCATAAAGCTGACTGACGGCTACAACAAACAATTATATTAAAAACTAGCTGAGTCAGCCACTACGTCCGTCAGAATCGTTATTTTGGGCATCTTTATAAATTTAAGCTGTTATCCACAACGTCAGTTGCGTCCCTTCCCGTCGTTTGTTTGTTTGTTTTTTTTTGTTTTGTTGTTTGTTTGTTGTTTGTTTTTGTTTTTTTTTTTTTTTGTTTTTTTTTTGTTTTTTCATTTAAAGAGGAATCATTCTCCCATTCATATTTTTTGGGTATCTTGAACCGTTTTTGCCATTTCACATCTCCCGCTGTATCTTTGATAGTTCAGGGCGATGTTTTATAGCCTACCTCGATAAATGTTCTAACCAGCACAAAAAGAATGACTCAACTCGAACTCGTAGTTTTTGAGATTAGCGCGTTCAAACAAACAAACAACTTTGTATATTAGTATAGATAGATAAATACCTAAGAACCTAAGACCTTGAAGAGACGTCATTTAGAAGCTTTAAATATAAATAACATACATTATTCTTTGTAATTAACTATACAGTATGCAAACATTGTACTTCAAGAAAACTCCCTTCGGTAATAACTTATATCTAACCTATAGACTAATCTTGTTAGTACACAGGTTTATTTATATATGTAATTGAATCTTTAAAGTAAAATAACGTGGATTTATTTCTGTTTTACTGTTTACAAGATAACTGAGTTGCGATCTAATATAATTAATAGCATTTAAACTAATTAGCTTTTATATTTTTTTATTATAGGTCTAAGAAATTACTGCTGGAAAACCGTTTGAACATTTCCCTTAGGAGTTAGGTTAAACTTGAGGTTCTCCAAAATTGTGGATCTACGTTCACTTGAAACTGGTGTCAGTTCCTCATAATGGCAGACAGGCCAATAACTATATTAAGCCATACTTACTTGATAGCAACATACATTTTTCCCTCTATTTTCAAGTGACAAAATCATTTTCTCTCTTTTGTAAATAAGGTGTTTTTGTTTGAGTGCGTCATCGTTGGAAATTGTTTCAGAATGCATGGAAGAGGACTGCACAGACTGGGAGGGGAAGACGATCCCCCATGGCTTGCTGTACGTTCCTGGGCCCGGCGTTTGCTCTATCTGCGTATGCTATCACTCGCAGCCGATGTGGTGTAAGGCCATATACTGCGATCCCCCTTATGTACGTTACATAAATATCACTACGAAGATATTACTTTTATATAGGATCAAGAGTTGTTGTAATATATATATACAAACATAAGATATTTACTTTGCTTAGACTTTTCTTGAAGAAGATAATAATTATTTTCTTTTTATTTAAATCACTTCGTTGTAAATTTAATTTGCATTTCTATTTGTTTTTTTATAGTTCTGCAAAGACTTCCGCGTCGGCGAGAGATGTTGTGAATTCGAGTGCCTCGATCCTCCTGGTGAAGACACACGCTACCAAGAACGGCAAAGGCTACGGGCCCTGATACTCTCCGGACATTCTTCAGCTGCTTACTTCTATCCCAGCGTCAGCTTACTGGCTCTCATAGCATCGTACTTCGTATGGAGTATCGGGATGTTTGAAATGAATAACACTGCCCAGTAAAAATGGTGAAAACTGGGTCCCGAGTCTGTTAATTCACGAACCAGTGACATAATACCAACTGACGATCGAGACATATTTGCAATTACTATTAAACCATTATGGTTGTAAGAAAAGCAAGTCGCAAGCAACAAATTCTCGAAAAATTGTGCTGTTACAAAAATAGACAGGCCATTATCACGCCAGCGATATGACATTGTGAATAGAATTGGGATCGTGGTGAACTGGAGTTAATTGGTGGTTACTAAACTTTGGCAGACACAAACATGGTCTAATTAGACTGTATCTTGTTTAGTATGCCTAGAAGCCCTTTTCCTGTGGATAACTATGATATAGTTAGTCACAAATTCTCTAGCATTATTCTCGCACTGTACGCTAAGATGAGCACAGCAAATAAGAAATGTAAATAATTAAATACCTAATGAAAGTAAATCAACTAATCCAATGATTTTTTAACTAATAGATTAAAGCCTGGCACTATATTGACCCTCTCAGTGGCCAAATGGCCAAATGGTTAAACGTATTGCCTTGCATCGCGTTAAGCGCGAGATGTCCTGGGTTCGAATCCCAGGGAAACATAAAATTTTGAAATTGTTTCGGTAGGGTACGGCACAGAAGTCTGATCAGCTACTTGCCCGTTAAAAGAATGCATCAGTGAAACGGGCACAAAAAAAATGTGTTCGCCCCATACCCTAGGGGGAAACGGGCTTTCACACTTTTCACTATGATGACCCAATTTAAAGGTAAAAACACAATATACTTTATTATACTACTCCGGCCAAAATGCACTTCCGTAAGATTTACAAATCAATAAATATCATGTACGTACGAAGTGAGATAACAATTAATATGATAAGACTCTAACACAGTGTAAGTAGACACAATAATAATATATTCCCTTTAGATACTCTACTTAATAAAAAAGAAGTATTAAAAATATTCTAAATCGTTACTCTACGCCCATTTTCCCACTTAAAATATTTATTAAGTCACGTCTTTGGTGCACTAACGCAGATAATAACTAGGTAAAGTAATTTGGACCAATTTTGAGTAAATGTAGAGTTTGAATTCTACTTATTTAGCGCTTTGATTTCGGTCGAAATCGTGTGCTAATAAGCGCAGTGCTTTGAGATCGCTGGTTTCAAATATAAATTACCCTGCTATGTCAAACTGTATGTCAATCGCTTTTACAAGCTAGATTTGCTACATATTTGCATCTTTGAACATATCTAAATGCTTATAATGAAAGAAAAAAATGATTCAGTATTTAATGATCTATGTTTATAAAATAATATTGTGAAACACATAAAAATTCTTTATTATTTACAATCTTCAATATTTCGCTCTAATTCTAATAAAATACTTTAAAATCTTTATCTATAGCACCCCTAGAAATATATAAATAGAAATCGACTCCCTTGTGGTTAAAGAATGCCTGGTGGTTATAATTTACTGTGAATAAGTGAACATTAAGTATTTTAAAATACGCTTAGGTGCGACCAGGTTGTATTTCGTTAGAGTTTTTGTAAAGTATAAGAGGTAAGTCTTAAAGTATGGTAAGTAAAAACACGGTGCTAGCTAATATACCTGTATGTATGTTTATTTTAAATTTTAACTATAGCTGTTCTAGTCACGGCAACATGAGAAATCAACTTTTATAAAATCGTATATTTTCTTTGAAAGGCTTTCTTCAATTACAATTTAATTTGATTTGTAACGCTAGCCAATATAACGCTAAATAATTCCAGTAAAGTAGAAAAATGTGAATTTTAAAATGCATTTAATGAAATCGAATGCCACTCTCCGAAATTCACAGCGCAAACGAATTGATTATTCGTTAAAACGTGACACAACTACAAAATTGCAACGGAGAATAGCGATTCCACTAAAGTAATCCGATTTAACAGTATTTCATATTTTAAACTCTATGCATGAAAAGTCCAATGGAAATAAATTTTCCAGTAGATAGTCACTTTTGAAATTTAGCCTTAAACCTTTGTAGAATTATCAAGTGAGGCAGGGATAAGCCTTCTTTAAAATATAGCGAATTCTTGTTGTTTTTTTCTCTGGTATGTCAATCAGTTTTTTTTCTAAGAAATATTTCCAATTGTATATTATGCCTTAATCTACATACGACATGAGGATACTAAGACTAATAGAAACTCCTTCATAGGTCAAAGGTTACTTTGTACCGTGTATTATGTTTGTATATAGTACAATTGATCTGTTTAGATAAAGCAATAGTAAAACTTTGGAAATATGTTAGACCTATTATGCAATGATAATTTTGTAAATATCTTTAGTTGTATTATTTTCTTGGACTTATTGTAAACAATGTATCTTTAAGCTTAATGTTATTTTCTTGTATTATTTGTAAGAAATCAATATTGTAAATAAACCTTATGACTAGCTTAATAAAAGTTTAGCTATTTAATAACAAAGTGTTATACAATCTATGTCACTTCCCTTACAATAAATGTAGTCTATCTAATATTTTAGATAAACTGTTCTCGAATTCACATTAATGGAAAACATTTTATTATAGATTTATAAAAATTTACATAGACACATATTTGAAGGTACATTAAGGAATGCTTATTATTTTATGAAACAGGTAAGCTCTATCTTAGAGAACATACATGTAATAAAGGCAATTTGTTGTCAATGACGATAATCAACATATATTTTACACAATAATTAGCAATATAGATAGATAGGAGGAGGAATGGTATTATTATTATAATTTTTATCTTACCCAACAATCTGAAGTTATTTCAATACTAAATAGATGACCAACTAGAATAATGTATAAGTACCCCAGTAAGAATGAATTGTAACAAATACAGTTATAGACTAGTTAACACATACACTACCACTTTAGACCTTTTGCTACTAAATCTTTATTAGCCTCCTTTATTTGTCGCTGCAGTTCTAAAAATGCTGATTCGCAGTTATTAAAAGTGAACACTCTATATAAAACAACAGTTAAGGCGTAGAGTCCAAAAATAATTACAAAACATATTGGAGATATTAAAATTAGGCTCATGTTCGCTTCAATCAGTGGATGCTTGACATATCCACCTATTAGGGAGTACCAGATTGCAAAGAATGCTGAGGCAACAGATATCCACTCTAGAAGTTTTGTCATTGTATCTGAAAGAAGTTAGTCAAGTATGTTTTAAGATCAGCCATATAATACATATTTTTCATCAACATACGCTAATAACAATATATACTATTAAGTACTTTGCAATATTATATACCTTTTTCTTAAACAAATTCGCCAAAGATTATATTATACTGAAATAATGGTCTTTATGACTATTATGATATATAAGAAAAACAGTCCTAGCTGAAATAATTTTAAAGAGCCGACTGTGCACCAAGTCAACAAATAGTTAAAGTCAAATTGGTGACGTTTAACAATTTACCATCAATGTCACCCGAATTTAACATCCGGTTTACAGGCAGTATTGTTGAAAATACCTCGTACCATTATAGGTTTTTGTTAGCAGTAATTTCCAATTTCTAAAATAAAATGTTTTGAAAGCATTCAGTAGTCCTTAAAAAAATATATTTAAAAAAAAACAATTTGTACAGCATAATATTGTATTGTCACATATCATGTAAGACATTAAAAAAAACTGACAAGAAGTTTGACATATTATATATTTGTATCATTCAAATGTTAAAAAATTAATGTTTGCATTTGTACACAAATTTACAAATAAACTAACAATAATGCATTTTTTCTAAGTTGTTCTTACTACATTGAAAATAATAAATACGCTAAAAATGAACGAAATAGATGATAAGTTTTACTACGTTTATAGTTCGTCATTAGATTATAAAGTGGAAATAAAAATGTAAGAACAAAGCTGAGTATACTATTTTGAGTAACAATATTTATATTGATCGATTGTTTAACATATCGTGTACACGTTTTTACTGCAGTGGTACTCTAGAAGGTAAACGAGCCAAGCCCGAATATGACATGCTGCTCTCAGATCCAATGCTGAAATTCTCTGGTCTTTACCAGGAAGGTTGTTCTGACTTGTATGTAACTTGCCAAGTACTTTGTGATGGGGTACCTTTGGCTTTGCCAGTAACTACATCATACAAGGCTTTCACTAATAGATGGAAGTTAGTATAATTTTATCAATATTCACCTCCCATTTTTATGTTGCTCTTTCTTACTTACAATAATGAATGCAGATAAGGCTAGACTTTTTACAATATAATATGATATATTGAGTTCTGTCAATATTTTTGCTCTTTAACAATAAGAATAAATTTTTACTTTTTCATAAATTTACTTGACATTTCTTACAGTTGGAACGAATGGGTGACACTGCCAGTGTATTACAGTGACCTTCCCCGTAATGCCATCCTTGCAATGACAATATATGACTGCGCTGGGCCAGGCAAAGTTATGGTAGTGGGGGGCACAACTATCTCATTATTTGGAAAACATGGAATGTTGAGACAGGTAAGCAATAATCATTCATATTTGAAATACAAGTTTCTAAGGTTCTAAACACAGTCTTAATAAGCACTAATTTTCCTAAAGGAAAGGTTAGGTTTTCATTAGTGGAAATATTGACAGAATATTAGACGGTTAGCACAATATGGTTGGGTCATTCTGTAGCTTCTAACTTTAAACTAACAAGTTTCTTTTTTAATTTCTAGACACTTTTTAAAATGATTGTTATTAACATTAAATAATGTTCTTGCCAAACAACTAGCATATAATATAACACATTGGTATTGCTTAAATTATGGGACACATGTTAAAACAGGTTTGCTAAAACAAAATGCATATTACATCTCATTAAACCAATAAATAAAACAACATCCATTATTAATTAACTATTATTATCTTGAAACAACCTACCCACATACAAATCTTAAGTATCAATAAATTTATTGCAAAATGGTACAATTTTACATATAGATTTACATTTTATCTAATTAATATAAATCAAGTCACTACTTTTTGACTCTGATTATTTAAATATCAATAAAGTAAACTTGTAATTTAGGAAAACTAAATAATGTATAGTATACAATACTGTGTTTGGTTTGAATTTGTTTTAAATAGTTCTTAAAATGAAGCAATGTATAACAGCTATCCTTGTACTATCGCATTATAGAAACCAGTTTTTAATGCATTGGTGTTTTGCAAAATTTTTGCCAGTTCCATTTAAGTCGCGTATGGATGCGCTACTGTGTCCTTTCACGTTTGTGATATACCGAAAATTACTATGTGTAGGGTAGTTTTGTTTACTATTTAAATGAGAGAACGGGTAAAATTAAAAAAAGAACTGCTGTGTTTAACGCTCGTCGCCGTGTGTGAATTAATGTTTCCTTATGAATTTGGCTATTTGAATTTCGAGTCAGGGAGTGTTATATTTTGTACTACTTATTAAGTATATACAATATTAGATCGTCGATGTTTAAGAAAAATCGGCTACAACATCTTCCCACGTTATATGGAAATTAGCAATGTTTTTAGTAGAGTTAAAAATGTAATTTCACTTTATTTGGTAGTGCATTATTATTTTTTGCTTAGTGTTAAATGAATGGAAATTGTAAAACTAACTAATCATGGATAGTATAATTCACACATTTGAATCGATAATGTAAAAAAAATACATAATTAAAGCAATTTCATGGTAATTGAAAATGCTCTCCAAAAGTTTACAAAACAATAACAATTTAGATAATATTTAAATTATGCTAAAGCAGTTTCTCTTGAATTAAGCTAATCGTTATTTATGTCGTAATTTGTATTAAATTTGATGATTAGTGGTCTACATAAAGTAGAAAAACAACTGGACGCGAGAAACAAAAATTCGGTTGATCTGTTTATATATATTGTTGACTTTTAATTGGTGATATAGAGTGTCATCCTCCAATCGATTGCTTAAATAAAATAGCGTTTATTTGCAATGTTGATTGTCTGATTAGGCAATGATGATAAAGACATGATACGTGTCTAAAGGTTTTCGAAGATTACCCCACGGGAAAAAGAATGTAAGAAAGTAAAGAAGTGCGCGACACTGTATGTCTATCTTTTAAGATGAACTAGAAAGTACGATGGGTCGCGTCCGACATCGTGGGTAATAGCTTAAATATATCAAGATGACAAGGAGGTTGGCAAAAAAAAATTTGGATGTCCAACATTAGTATTCTACGCGGACGAAGTCGCTGACACAGCTAGTTTTAAATATAAGGTCAAAAATAATAATAAATGTTACAGTTACTTTATCGTCCGAATAAAAAGGAAGCACGTTTAAAAAATAACGAAGCACTGTTACAGCCAAATTTATGGCGTCGTAACCAATCGTTTAGCTTCAATTCTTTGTCCCTTGTTTTATAAACAACGTTCCCTCTTCTCCAGCTACCGAGGTATGATCTCACACGGTCTCATTCTTATCACGGTTCACGTTGCTGATATTTCAAGACACGCCCCCAATAAAACCGTTTTTGCTAACTTTCGCTCTTGGGTTTACCTGCGATCTAATTTATATTTTTTGTCTGTCCAAATTATTCTAACCAAGTTGCTTTCCATGGCTCATAGAAAAGACGACGAAGACTTAATAAGAACTTATAAGTATTTACTTACTTAGTTTTGATTAAGACTATGTAATTTTTTATCAGATTAAGACATTCAAAATCACATTTTACTTTAGATCTCCACGACGAGTACATAAATGTGTTGCCTAATAATTATCAAATATTTAATTGTATTCTGATATTCATACACCACAATTCTACTAAATAAATGCGTATTTACAGACAGGCTTATTTTATTCGCTATTAATTATAATATATGTATCGACAACCTCTCTTATCATTAAAGTCCGACGATGTCTCCAGAAGTATTTTATAGCTTATCGCGGCTTGTCTTCTTTTAAAGTTTAACAATAATTCCATTCCTGTTCTCTTAAGTCTCCTAATGTTTCGAAGAAATAAAAAACTATTAAAGCACAATATTAAAATACCCTTATTCAATAATTAAAATAGCTTCTATTTAGTTCGTCACGCCGTAAAGCGATATAAATTCTAAAGTATGAAGTGTATTATGGGCATCAGTGGTAAAATGGTGAAGATTTAATTTAATTGGGACCAATATTAATTAACAAAAATTAGTGACATATTGTGTGGAATATACCGAGAATGAGAAGTTTGCAACATTATTAAAATGAGAAACTAGTGACATTAAAATCGTCGCCTAACATAAGTTAAGAAAAATAAAATGATCGCGACTAAATAAGTGGCCCATTGGTGCGTAAAAATGGGTAACTCTGAGAGCACTCTCAAAGTGTACAAGAAATGGTACATCCAGTTAGTGAACTGGTTAAAAATATGGAGGTCTTTTTCCAAGGGGATGTTCGACCTTCGCGTGTGGCCCGGTATGGAGGGCAGCGAGAAGACCCCGGGGAAAGCTCCCGACAGGGGCAAAGAGCAGATGCAAAGGCTCGCCAAGCTGGCGAAGAAACATAGGAACGGGCATATACCTAAAGTAAGTGAGATACGTTGTATAGTAAGTAGATAGTTGCTAAGTTTTCCTACAACCAATTTTCCCATATAAGATATCGCGTCATTCTATAGAAAGTGATAGTAGATACTCATTTCCGCATTTCAAAAGGGTCGATTAGGGTCAGTTCTTTGATATACATCGGATGGAGCTTATGCAACGTGTTTATAAACATAAATATGATAACATAAATTCCAAACTTGTTTGAGATTTGTGGTCCGAGTGACATCAGGGTACATGTGAACACAGTTTGTCTGTAGCGGCGCCTGCGCATGTCACGTGTCTTAAACAGGATTCAGAATGTTAGTAAAATTATGGACTTAAAACTAATTTCACGAAACACCGAGGTACTACTAAATTTCGACGTGCATTTATAACTTCGACCAATTGTACATATACATATTTATAAATATCATATGCATTGAGAAATAGTTTATCTTTAGTAGACAAACTTACTCAATGTATATTTATATGACGTTTTATAAGAAATGTCAACCCTTAGTAAGCACGATCACTTAATCCCATGAATGATTCTTTTTACATAAAACTTTATTAGAGTTTACTTAAAACTTTCTTCTGTGGGACCTTCAGGTAGACTGGCTGGACCGTCTCACGTTCAGGGAGATAGAGATGATAAATGAGAAGGAAAAAAGAAACTCCAACTACATGTACCTCATGATCGAGTTTCCTACTGTACAGATTGATGGTATTGACGTGAGTATAGCCTTTCGTTGTTACCGATATTATATCAGATACATAAAGGAGATTGTTTAAGTATTAATGTTGGATTATATTTTTACAAAATAAATAGTAGTCTATGTATAACACATAAACCAGATAGATATAGCTGGATTTTAAATGATCGCGAATCGCGTCTAATCGATCTAGTCGCGAAAGAATTCTTACATGGTTCATAATTATAATATTTATGCCATACCTATAATAGCACTATGTAAATTATAACGAAAGTGTAAGGGTTGAAATTACATTGCGCGCGGGTGCACGTATCAATAGATTGAAACAATTCGATAATGAAGTATAGGACACGATAGCTCAATTGGCTGCAACAGCACCGAACGCTGTGTATGCCGGTTCGAGTCCTACCCGTGTCGTAATTTTTTTTTCAATATGAAATCGATTTTTAATTCATACGAGTATTCCTTCATTCATTTTCTCATTTCTATTAGTCAGATTTTATTAGTTAGATGGATCCATAGAGAGTAAAATGTTTTTTTTATATCCAATGTTGTTTTTTTGTTCAGGCAAACTCTTATAACAAGTATTATGTATTATGAAACATGTTACAGGTGTAGAAATTGTTTTTAAATGTCCTAACGGTGCATCGTGCAATTTAAATATTTTTTTGTCTTGGTACAGCATGTGAATGTGAAAGACCACAACTGATCCTTATCTCAAAATCGAAACAGGTTAAACATAATAACGGGAATAAGTGAATACTCAAAAACAGTTTTATTTTGTATCATAAAGTTTTACAGATCCCAAATATTATTAAAAATAAGTGCAAGTCCGTTACTTTTAGAAATTAGGGCTGCCTCGTAAGTTTACGTAATATATTTTGTTCGTAATAAGCGAAAATGATGCAGATAAAAGGACATAAGATTAATTTCTCATTGAAAACTGCATTAATTTTGTCAGATACACTGGTTATTTGTCTATTTTTGTTTACGGAAGTGTCAAGATTATTTTTATGTATTAAATGTACCCATTTCCATGGATTTATTGCAAAACTGCCGGAAATAAACAATAATGAATTAACGAATGGAATATTTTGTTTGCCATATTTTATTCATAGAGGCAATTTTTGTATATTCAATATAAACCTTCAAAGCCGCAGAGTTTCATGGTATAGGCATTCGAAGTGTAATTAGTAGAATCAAAATAATATCTCCGTTTCTTATTTTCTTATTCCATTAGCATGCAGTGGTTTACTACGAACAAGATGGTGACGAGATGTATCAGTTCCGAGCGCAAGCAGAGGTCGTGACAGTGCCCGATTACGAAATATTGCAAGTAAGCTACATTCGTTCGTAAATTATATGAGGCCGCTAGAGCCAGAGTAGCCTAACTGCAATTTTATGACTTGAGTTATTTATATTTTCATAGTCTAAACATTTTCATCTACAACAGTCACCCGAAAATTGTTAGCATAATTTTATAGTACAAATTAATTTTGCGCCTAAGTTAGTTGCGCAGTTCATTCTTATTAAAAATCATGTCTTTTTTTTATTAGGCCACCCTGCCTCTGCCCTAAGGACTTCAAAACCATTATTTTACACAATCCTATATTTTATACACTTTACAGGAGAATTTGATCGAGAGCAAACAACACAGACTGGCTCGTTCCGTTCGCGGTGTTGCGCCGGCGCGTGACGCCAAACCGTCCGCTGCGGAGAGGGATCGTCTCGCCGCTATCCTTTCCGCTCCGGCCGCGCCACTTTCTGCTGATGAACAGGATCTTATATGGAAGTATCGGTGAGTTGAAACACATTAATAAAAATATAATGTAAGGCTTTCACGGCCACGTTCAGCATATCTTTGTTTTTGCGGGCTGTTAAGAACTATCTAGTTTTTCGAGCCATCAAGAAGCTAACATCTCCTGATGATGCCGTCCCTCGTGATGGCGAAACGTCGATAACCTCTTCTCGCTCACGTCAGCCGTACAGCCGAAAACAATGATATAATAAAAATATTATTCTATTTTAAAAAGACACCTGCCCTTTCTTATTTACCACATGATTATTTTTACATAGTCTACAAAATTAAATATATGTTATAAAGAAGTTAAAAGTACTACTTATTTTCAGGTTCTATCTATCGTCACATCGGAGGGCTCTGACCAAATTCTTGGAATGTGTTAACTGGAATCGACCAGGTAACGAAAAATGTAGTGAATTATTAATTTACGAAACGAAATCTTAAGCGGGTGGAATTTCAACTTGAGCACTACGCATAATAAAAATATTAATTATCTCGGAAAAATAAATTATTATCGGATTATCCTTTTTTTAGCTTTTACTAAAATCAATAATAGGTATAATGACATTTACTAACTCCTTCTTTTACTTTATATACATAAAAATCTCTTTCAGGCGAGGTGCGCCAAGCCCTGTCCATGATGAAGCAGTGGGCGCCCATGGACGTGGAAGATGCTCTAGAACTGCTCACACCAAAGTTCACTCATCCCGCCGTTAGAAAGTACGTGTAGACATCCCACGAAAGTATTTTTTAAAGTATCTTATTATATATTCTTATATCTTAATATTTTATTATCTTAATATATATTCTTAAATTGTAAATGCGAAATATCGTTGCTTTCTCCTACAATTATTCCTTTATCTTGGCAACAAATTTACTTGTTTTACCATACTGTTAAAAATAGTTATTGATTATTCTCTTATTTTGAGCGCAGTGGCGGGTAAGAACAATTTTAAAATAGTTCTTCTATTCGGCAGGTACGCAATATCCAGGCTCAAGCAAGCTCCGGATGACGATCTCCTACTTTATCTGCTACAATTAGTGCAAGCACTAAAGTATGAGGACTTTCTTGAAATACACGAGGGTTAGTATAATTTTCATAGAATTTTTTAATTCTTTTTTGTAACATCATTAAATTGATGTTTTTGTTTAACCAATAATCCAATTAAATTAAATTGTAATGAACATATTTAAGTATAATAATAATAATTCAATACCCTGAATAATAATGATAGTGATTATTAATTATTTTGTAATAATCTTAAAAATATTAGAGTACGTACGAGTGTGTGGCAAAGACGTCGCAATGTACTCGGAGGGTGAGGCAAAGCCGCAGCATCGCGCAAGTCAAACCACTTTACTCTCAGCGTCAGGTAAAATTCACCTTTATTTTCCAGTGTATATATAGTGTATTTTTTTCACGTAATAAAGGAGAATTCTAATGTAAAATATGTTTTTTGTTATACTGTTTATTGCCTAAAATTTTTACATCAATATTTTTTTTAGGTCTGACATCTAGTGAAATGTCAGCGTCGATGACGAGCCGCCATTCTGACAACGCGGATGACAGTGTCGTCTCTGACACCATGACGTCTGAGACCCTTGATAATACGGATTTCAAGTTAGTTTGTTATAGAAATGTGATTTTTTAACTGGGTACAGTGAAACCCGGTTGGCTGAAGATGAGCGCAATAATTGAGACTCAGTTGCTCAATTACCGGTATAAGTAAGACAAATTAATTAGGTTTTAACACGTTATGACATATAAAAAAAAACATTTTAACGGCTTAAAACGTATTATATATTAGTAAAACTTATTTGAAAATTATTTTATATTCGGCCCGACGTTTCGGATGCTTTAGGGAGGATGTCTACGACGTCAAAGTTAAACTTGCTATATCTGTTCCGTCGAAGTTGGTATTTTTGCGAAACTATATATCGCGTTTTAAACCGTTAAAGTATTTTATTTAAATGTGTACTACTAACGTAAACTACAGACAACACTATGACATGTTGTACGAACAAACGCGGCGGCCTCTGTAAATTAGATAACTATAATTTTAAACCTGCTTAATTGGAAAACTTAATTTTTGGAACCCCTCAATATTTGGTGCACATGTCGTGGCCCTGTGCAATCCCAAATACCCAGGTTTCACTGTATATGTGTGATAGTCAAAAGTTTATTTGTGAGTAGTAAAAGAAGCGAATTTTAATCAATTTTTTTCTGAAAGCATTCAAAGACATGAGAATATTTATAATTAATTTTTCAGTGAAAATCCAGAGCCAGAAGAACAGAGCCTAGCTAGCTTTCTTATCAGTCGGGCGTGCAATAACCTGGTTCTCGCTAACTACCTTTATTGGTATCTTTTGATCGAGTGCTCGGATGGTGATTCTGGGCCACGCGATATGCCAACGCGTGGAATGTACCTTGCTGTCATGAGGAGTTTCTCACATCAGCTTGCAAAAGGTATTGTTTTATGATAGAGGAGGACAGACAAGTATGGGGGAGTACACTTGATGGTTGGTGAAATAGCTCAGCCTTATAAGATGTCGACAAGATGCGCTCTCGACCTATTTTGTCTTTGGATGACTGAACTTACGTACTCAAACTGAAATGGTATTAAATTTTACGGTTTTTTCTTCTGTGGACGGTGGTTCGTGACCCAGAGGGAGTTTCGACCTGTCACCTTTTAAATCTTTTCCAACTTTTCAGAAAAATTATAAAATGGTTATAAAACAAACTTTTTTTTTGTTGACAAACTTAAGTACACAAATTTTTCTTTTTTTTTCAGGTAACACCGACTACCAGCGCATACGCACGTTCCTCGCTCGTCAACAAGTGTTCATAGACAAGCTGGTGAAGCTAGTGAAAAGTGTAGCGAGGGAGAGCGGAAACCGGAATCGCAAAGCCGAGCGTTTACAACACTTGCTCGCCGACCCGGACGCGTTCAAATTCAACTTTGCCAATTTTGAGCCGATGCCGTTCCCCTTGGACCCCACCGTGACTATTAAGGTATGATTAGCAAAAAATATTTTTTTTTATATTACAACATAGACAAAAATATATCGTATACCTATTTCTTATAATTTTTTACGTAAGCCGTAAATCAATACAATTTCTAAATACTCTCTGTAGTTTACGCGAGTAGTACACATTTAAATAAAACACTTTAATGATTTAAAACGCGATATATATTATTTTAACTTTTCTGGACATTATTTTACCTACGGCCCGACGTTTCGTTAGCTTTGCAGCATATATATCGCGTAAGTGTTTTTTTTACACGATATCTGTTTTTATTTTATAGGGTATCGTAGCGAAAAAGGCTAGTCTATTCAAATCAGCACTAATGCCTTGTAAGTTGACCTTCCTTACGTCAGAGGGAAGCGAATACGAAGCCATTTTTAAACATGGAGACGATTTGAGGCAGGATCAGCTTATCCTGCAAATGATTACGCTTATGGACAAACTTCTAAGACGGTAAGAGTAACATGTTCTCTAGTTTCAATTCTTTTAATTATATTTGTGTACTTTTAGTATCTTCCTTAGTATCCTGACGAACATAAATTTTTACCTTTTTTACTTGCCATACAGAGCCAATAAGATACTTATTGATTTTTTTGCCAAATTTTAAACAAAAATTAAAGTTGTACCTATTTCTTTCCCAAAATTGGAATTCCCAAAAGAACTATTCTACACGGACAAAGTCGCTGGCACATCTAATGTGTAATAAAATCAAACGACTTCAAATCAAATAAATGTAGATCTAATACTTACTCAAAGTATAATTATATATCGACTACTTGTTCTGTTTCAGAGAGAATTTAGACTTGAAACTGACCCCATACAAAGTACTAGCCACCAGTTCGAAGCACGGCTTCCTCCAATTTATTGAATCTGTGACTGTGGCTGAGGCGTTAGCAACTGAGGGTAGTATACAGAACTTCTTCAGGAAGCATAATCCTTGCGAGGGCGCGCAGTACGGCATCAGACCTGACACGATGGACACTTATATACGAAGCTGCGCGGGATATTGTGTTATTACGTATTTATTGGGTGAGTTATTAGTTTAAATAACAGTTTAATGGTTTAAAGCCCGATATATATTAGTTAAACTTATTTAACTTCCATGGAACAGATGGCAATAGCTTAGTAGTTTTTACTTTGACATTAAAGACATCCTCATAGTAAGTCTCCCCGTGTCTATGTCTGCTGCAAAGCATCCGAAACGTCGGGCCGTAGTTATAATAATTTTCAAATAAGTTTAACTAACATATATCGCTGTTTAAACCGTTAATGTGTAAACTACAGACTGTATTGGAATTATTAGGTATTACCCCTCCTCAATTTTTTTTTCAAAATATCTATCTACTCCTAATTCCAGGTGTGGGAGACCGTCACTTGGATAATCTTCTTTTGACCAAGTCTGGCGCTCTTTTCCATATCGACTTTGGCTATATCTTAGGCCGGGATCCGAAACCACTACCGCCTCCTATGAAGCTAAGTAAAGAAATGGTGGAGGCCATGGGCGGAGTTCACTCGGAGCATTATCATGAGTTCAGGAAGCAGTGTTACACGGCTTTCTTGCATTTGCGTAGGTTGGTGTAACGTTATATTCTTATTAAAAAAAACTCGCACATATTTCTTTAACCAATTTGGCAACTGTGGCAATGACTACATTTTATGCCAAGTTAGAAAAAAATCACTATAGGTAGACAGGGCATATTGGTCAAATGTTATATAGTTGAGGTATTTTGTCTTCTCTTAAGTTAGTCCCATGCTTGACCTTTATCATACATTTTTTAATGTTTCTTGTTGTTTTCCTTAATATACTTACAGACATGCAAACTTAATGCTAAACCTGTTCTCACTCATGGTGGATGCTTCAGTACCTGATATTGCCCTTGAACCCGACAAAGCCGTTAAGAAAGTACAGGATAAATTACGGTAAGTACTAGGTACTAGTAAATAATCATTTTAAATGAAATCAAATATACCTACCTTGGCTCTACCTGCCCAAGAAAAAAATTAAATGAAAACTTGAACGAAATTTACTTTGATGTGCATTATTTCATTTTTATTTTAGTATTTTTAGTTTAATAATACATATTATTACATACTTAGACTATATAGTTTTAATTATACCAAAATCTACAAGATAAAGAAGTATGAATATGTAATGAACAAGTTACACCATTAATAGAATGTAAGTGATTGTTTAAATTGATTTTGTATTAAATTAATTAATTTGTGTGTTAAGCTTTTACCATAAACATTATTATAATATGGCACTTGTAAGTATGTCATGTCCTTTTTCTGCCCTAGTAACTTAACTAGAACTAATTTTTCTCGTTTAGTTAAATTCCTTGTGAAGTAGTTTTCAATAAAGATAAAGTATTGTATTGTATTCATGTATCGATTTAATACATTTCACATATACATAATTTATATAGTGATCGTTTTGAAATAATTAATTTAACATTTGTTAGGTTACACTGTGTTCTACTAAAAATCCAGATCACGAGGCATTTTCTTTTTACTTTCAGATTGGACTTAGGCGACGAAGAAGCAGTTCACTATCTTCAGAATTTACTAGACATGTCCGTGACCGCGGTTATGGCCGCTCTCGTCGAACATTTTCACAAGTTCGCCCAGTATTGGCGGAAATAACTCAATCAGATACTCACATTTTGCTCACGTTATATTCGAAGTTTTAAGTATACTTAGATATCTGCTATATTAAAACCTTGCTGTGATATAAAAATGTATATATTTTTGAAATTTTTCTTTTTTAATTTGACCCATATAAACCTAACATAATATTCTCTGCATAGGGAATGGGGAAATGGCTCTAACATAATATAATAATTATTGTAATAAAAAAAATTGAGTAAGTTTTGTAGTAGTATATTGCATTATAATATTGTACCTTAAAAAAAGAAAAGTTAAATTATATACAGATGGAGAAAAGCCTTTTAAAGGACAAGGTTGCAAAATTACCAATAGTATTGTGTCCATCTACAAAAATTTTTGTAAATAGATTAATTAACAAATTTGTAAAACAATTTCATAATATACAAGACACGTTTTAATGTTCAAATGTTTGCAGCAATAATATCACTGCCACTGGACACAGAGTCACTAGCAATATATATCTTACTACCAGTAGCTGTCTGGACTACATCGCAAGCCGCTATTTCTGCATATGTTACACCACCAATAACAAAGACTAACACTGTCTTATGTTTGATATTGAAAGCGCCATTAATTTTGCTGTCATTTTTCAACAATTTCATAACTGCTTTCGCATCTTTGCTGCCCAGTTCAAAATCTTGCAAGGATACATTTGATAGTTTCTCGTTGATAGTCTCCATTCCAGATTTCAACTGGTCCATTATGGTTCCACCAACTTTCAAATTGTTTAATGGAGATAACTTATTCAGTACTTCTTGAAGGGAGTCTGATGACAGAAGAGCATTGCACATGACAGTTATTAATGGAACGTAACTCCCATTAAAGACATATCCTGCTGAATTTCCAACTTCAGTCTGTGGCAACTGTTTTAATTTAGTAGCAGTTGTTTGGAAACTATTCTGCCATTTTGGTAATCGGTCACTCAAGTTACTTAAATTGCTAATATTTAGAGAGAGTTTTGGACTAGAAGGTTGAACTAGAAGCCCAGCGTTAATCAAATTATTAAATATATATAAGAACTTATAACCAAATGCTAATAAATATTTGCTTATTAATAAATTGTATTCATCATACGACAAGCCTTGAGTTAAACTTAGCAGGCACATTAGACGTAAACTGTTATAAATGTGTATATCAGTGCCAAAATGGTCATCTACAAATGTAAAATTAGCTTTTTTGTTTCTATTATTCAGCATTTCACTTTCAACTTGTGTTATATTTTCAAACTTATTGTTCATTTCTGCAATAATTGTCTCGCACGCTAACACATGGTTCACCAAATTCTGTTTGAATAATACAACTTGCTGTAGTTTCGTTGTAACAAAATTTTTTATTTCTTGAATACCTAATGCCTTAATATCTTCATTTTTTAACAGTTTAGCTTTAGAACTTAACACACTAAGTACTTCAGAGAAGTGCCTATGTTTTATTTCTCCATATAAATTGTCTATAGAGCTATCTAATGTTATGACAGCATTCTTCTCAGACTTTTCTTCATCAGTTTTGAAGTTCATTTGGCCTTTCTTAATTTTTGTTTGCTTTACATTTAGGTCTAAGTGTCCACAATTTATATTAAATATTTCACTCAACAATCCACTATATATAGCTGGTGTTAACAGACTCGAAGCATAGTCCTGATCCCTATCGATGATAATAAGAGTTCCAATGTCTGGGGAACCTGTAGTATTAACAAAATCTCTCTCATAACTCTCTTTATAGACTTCTAAGATATCCAGAACACTAGATGACATGTTACCAAGAGATAAAATACATTTAGGCCGCCCAGTGACATGGAACATACTCCATAAAGACATGGCAATACTGCTTAACAGAGACTGATTTTTTTCAACAAATACTTGTTTGTATAGAAATGGCAATTCCAGGCTTAACAGTTGTTCATCTAAGCTAAATAATTCCCAAGAAAAGGAATGTAGCTTAACAACATCATATAATCCTCTACTTTCAAGGATGGAGTCATAAGTGGATATAATTTTTGGTACTATGATTATGTGGAAACAATTGGCTTGTGATAATGAGGTGTTTTGACTGAGAACTGAGGAAATCTGATCAAGGACACACTTGTATTTTATCAGACATGATGGTATTAAATAGGCTCGTGTAACATTTCCTGTTGGATCAAATTGTGGATCAATTTTGCAGATTTTTGTGACCCCATGTTGTCTGAAAATCAAGTAAACAGATATTATTGAATAGAGAATGGTGAACATCTTCCACATTCCTTCAGTGAGTTTTATAATGCAAGGAAGAGATATGTCTTTTCCATACCTAATAACAGCGTTATCCATAATATATACATATTACGAATAACTTGGCTAAATTGGCGTAGCATTATGGGTGTTAACGATTCTTATAGGAGTTACGAATAACGATAGATATGTCATGTAAAAGCTATTTACCTTAGCCACGTTACTCCACAGATCCTTTCTAATGGCTTAATGAGCGTGGGATCAATAATTAAAACTAATTCATTTCCACAAGCAGACAAAATAAGTTCAAATTTATGTTGTGAAATAAGGGTTAGTGAAGCTAATTTGAGGGAAAGTGGCTGGTCCATTTTTTAAATTAAATTATGAGTCTTTGCTTTATTTTATATATTTAACTGTCACTTATATGTTAAGTTGTAATTAATTCCATGTTTTATACTTGTAAATAGTAAAAGTACAGTTTTAAATTATAGGGTCATAATACGACATTTGGTAAACAAAAATTAAATGTTATTTGTTGACAGCTGTAAACGTGAATGTTGACTTAATTTTCAACAAAAATTTGACAAATGACTTAACAGGAAATATATTTTTAAAAATAAAATCTCAAATAAAAAAAAACATTATTATATATATTATATCTATTTCTTTAAAAAAATAACATCAAAAATCCATGCAGTCATTTATTAACAACGTCAAAGTCAAAACTAATTGTCCTTGACAGTGTCTTCCGGTCATGCGTCGTTGTCTCCTCTGCAATTTCCTCCCCTCCGCCTCTTGCCGCGGAGTCTCATCGTCGTAATAAATTTTTCTGTGAAATGGCTGCGAGATTTATCAAAAAAATCGTAAGTGTGTGATTAGTGAATCCAATAACTAATTTGCGATATCCCTTGCATGTTATCTTTTCTATTGTATCTCACAAAAACCGCTCACGTAGTTAAAATAATTGTCCAAAAATAGACACTACATATAGTTATGTCGAAGAATTACATAAAAGCGCTTTTGAAGCCTTTTCGTGAGAGTAAAGTGGTAGAGAGCTTGCTGAAATTGTTCGATTCGGGGTTGGATAAGTCCCCCAGTGCGGTTAGGGGCCTTGATAATAAGGTTAACATTATTATATGGTGAATATTTTGTTGAAGGTTAAGTGTGTGGTATATTCGATGTTTTATTTAGGTCCCGACGAGTAGGGCGGGTGTCGCCAAGTACAGCACTGGAGTGCGGAAGGTGACGCTTATTCCTGGCCATGGCATCGGTCCGGAGATCACAGTGGCTGTGCAAAAAATATTTGAAGCCGCCAAAGTACCCATTGAATGGGACGAGGTAGACGTCACAGCTGTTAGGGTAAGTACCCGAAAAGAACATGCTTATATTTAAATAAAAACACTTTTAATCGTAAACGAAACGAAATAAAAACACTTTAATTGAAAACGATTTTTAACTTCGGTCCACGTTTTGGATACTTTAAAGCAGCCGTTGTTACGGGGAGACTAAAACGTCGGGTCGAAGTTAAAAATAATTTTCAAATCAGTTTGACTAATATATCGCGTTTTAAACCGTTAAAGTGTTTTATTTAAATCTGTAAACTATATACAGTACATGCTTATATTATTCTTAAATCATGCTAAGTGTATACTCCCTTGTGTTCTAATGTTAGTGTTTAAAACAAATTTACTAGTTTCAATTATTGTTAAAACATTTTAGAATTAAATGTCGTGAAGACTACCACAGTGTCCCCAAATTATTACATTTTTAATTGTTCAGGTGTCTAAATAACGTAATCTACATATATTAGATATATAAAATTGTGCATATATTTTTCCTTAATATATATTATAATCAGATGGAGATATTAAAAAAGGGAACTAAAACTTAATATAATAAAGCTTATTATAAAATCTCTTGCAGGGTCCAGATGGCAAATTTGGTATTCCACAAAGGGCGATAGACTCTGTAAATGAGAACAAAATTGGACTAAAAGGGCCATTAATGACCCCAGTCGGAAAGGGTTATAGATCTCTGAACTTGGCTCTACGTAAAGAGTTTGATTTATATGCTAATGTGAGGCCATGCAAGAGCTTGGATGGGTGAGTAATTTAAACCTTTATGTGCCTGGTAAACTAAACAGTAAACTAAAAACTTCTACAATTAATTATTAACTCACAAAAAGGTCTTCATGATTCTGCTGTAAAAATATAAGAAATACAAAGAATATAACATACTTATTTTTAACAAGAATTATATTAGTTGCTGTCACTATGGACATCCAAAGTACTAGGTAAAGGCAAGGTATCTTGCATATGGTTTATAGATATTTTTTTTATGTGTAGGTACTATTCACATAACAAACAATAGTTAAGATAATTTTTACGAACAATGTTAGAAGACATTTTATTTTTGGTATGAGTATTTTTTCTCTTCAGCCATCCAATGTAGTTTTTAGGACAGTTCAAGACTTTATAATTAATTCATCATTCAAGGTTTTGTGTTAACTACTCCAAAAAACGTATTGTTTCATATCTCATGTGGGTAATTTGTATGGTAATTATTATTTTTCATTGCTAAGCTCTTGAAGATAAATAATTAATTTATAATTCAAGACTGACCTATCTTTCTTCTTTGCATCTATATTCTATACTAATATATAAAACTATTTGTAAATTTCGATGTTTGAAAGGGCTAATCTCAGGAACTACTGGTTCGAATTGAAAAAGTCTATTATATAGATTAGAATATTTATCGAGGAAGGCCTTAGGCTTTAAAACTTAACAATGCGACCAATAGGAGCGAACAGAAGGAAACGTAGAAAAATCAGGGAATATTTATTTCAGGGCTTCCGCTCGCGTGCGCGCGAAAACGATTCAAGATACCCAAAAAAATATGTTTGAAAGAATGCGTCCTCTTGAAATGATCTAAAAAATGTCCTCTTCAATATATGTTTGTCTATCTTTTAAGATTAATTTTCAAAAACGACAAATTAACGAATATATTATGAAACCTTAAATATATATCGATAAGCGGAATTAAACATGTAGCAATCAGTCATATTTACTAATCTAAGACGTTTGTGACTTATTAGTGACGGATTTTACACATTTTTAACATTGACTGATTGTGTAATCAAGATATTTTGTATTTATAAAAAATATCTGTACTACTATATAGAGACGAAGAGTTTGTTTGTTTGAATGCGCTAATCTCAGAAACTACTGGTGAGAATTTAAAATATATTTTTATGTTAACATCGCGCTGAGACTAATAGGAGCAAGAAAACAGCGAGTAATGTGGAGAACATGAGGAAAATTATTTTTTAGCTTCTGTTGCGAAAACAGTTCTAGATAACCAACGAATGTTGAAGATTCACGCGGACGAAGTCGCTGCCACACCTAGTAGTACAAAATTGTTGTCGCGTCTAGACTTTAGTCGCGACTTTTGGTATTTCACGTGCACTTATACATACAAGAATATAGGTATATGGGCGTGCATTTAAGATTATATAAAAAATATTTGTATTTAAATATCTAATTAAAGAAATAATTTACATACTTATAGCACATGGATACATTTTTAAATCAATCTACAGATCTTAATTAAATTGTATATTACTTTATCAATTATTATTTATTAGAGCACGTTTTAATTGTGTCATTGTAACATTTTCGATAAGTCACGTAAATTCAAATACTGATAACCTTTAAATAATCCGCTAGACGTAAATTTCAAGGGTATTTCCTGATAGTGTGAAGGGGAATCGGATTGTATACTGATAATGGCATTCTTGTGAATGCCTGGTATTACTCGTTGACAGGGCTTTCTTGCACTACATTTAGTTCAGATTTAAAAAATATATATTTTTACTTGAGTATTCAAATTACCATTTTATTGTAAATTTATTTGACAGAGCTGGTTCTTAATGGTATTAATTGTAGATTTTTTTAAATAACCTTAAAATTTTATTGTTTCCATCCGTTTTATAGAGATTGCGGCAAAATCAACCTTGTAAGGCGCACATTTAAACGTGGATATAGATAATAATAAAAATAATCATCCTAATATATATAAATCTGTCACGGTGTTTGTCCGCTATGGACTCCTAAACTACTGCACCGATTTTAAATTAAATTGGCACACCGTGAGCAGTCTGGTCCTACTTGAGACATAGGATAGGTTAGATCTTTATTGTAGTTGCAATTTCATTTTATTGCAAATTATTTGTCTATAAATAATTGGCAGTTACAATGGATTGAGTAAGTAATCGATAGATGGCACTGCTATGGTAAACCGACAAACTTGTCTTATATAATTATTATACTGGCACCATTATTATTATTATTTAATGGAAATAATAAATTAAAAAATTAATTCTTGTGTATTGATTTCTGCTTAATGTAAACTGTAAGAAAATTTTAATCGATCGTGTTCAACGTCCTTCTTCAAATCCCAATCCCGTGAATTTGTGTACCAACTTTAACGTTTCCGTCTTGATTCGTAAATAATTTCATTGTACTAAAGGGTTATAGTCGTAGATAAGCTGTCATGGAGATCTCCATATTTTTTTACAAATACCATCTATGTAAAAAGCATGATGTTCCCCGTGACTGATGTTCTCCTACTGTTCCTCTTAAATTGTATACCACAATGGTAATAAAACAATAACTTCAGCCACAGCAACGCGTGCCCGGGTCTGCTAGTAAATTATAAAAATATTAAAAAAAATTAAAACGACCAACATGTAATTGTCATATAATTTTATATATAATATGTACAATGTAGGTATTTAAGAAATAGGGTTTTCCTATCATTGCGATAATTTTATCACGGATTGTAGACATATATTTCCGGATTTTATTTGTTTTGTTATTGCTAAACAATTCTATAGTAAAAATAACCCTTGTTTTAAAGTACGTACGTACTTATTTTTTTATCTATTGTAACAATGTAATGTACCTAATGGGACTTCTGCCAATCAGCTGATCAAACATAGTAGTAATTTAACCATAATTTTAAAGGACGAACAATATTATCAGGGTTTCCTCTATAACTGAAACATTACTAAAAGTAATCTATAGGAGTTTTTAAAAATCGAAAATAAATTGAAAAAAATTTCGACTCGGGCAGGACTTAAACCGGTATCGTCAGCGTTCCGCGCTGTTGCTCTTCCAATTGAGCTACCGAATCCTACACCTCAAATTATATATGCCTTCATGTGCAATAACATGTAAAAAATATTAATGCTTTCAAACATCACATACTTTGTTCCGTTTCAGTATCAAGACTTTATATGACAATGTAGATGTAGTAACAATCCGTGAGAACACAGAGGGAGAGTATTCTGGCATTGAGCACGAAATCGTTGATGGTGTAGTCCAATCTATTAAGCTGATCACTGAGGAGGCTAGTAAGAGGGTTGCTGAGTTCGCCTTCCAGTTTGCAAGGGACAACAAGAGGAAGAAGGTCACCGCTGTCCACAAGGCCAACATTATGTAAGTTATGCTTTATTTTGGTCTTAGGCTAAGACCTGGTCTCTCTTTTTCTTCTGGCTCACCTTTATGTATAAGAACTAGGTTTTTTTTCTCTCTTTCTTTCTTTGGGGTCGTACAAATGAGTTCCCAGTTCTCCCACAAAACACCATAGTGAGCTGGTGGTGGCTATTCTCTTCAAGGAGGCTATAGTACGATTTACCATACTCCCCACGCCACTATTGCCTGACGTGGATGTGCATTAGGCATTCACACCGTCTGTAAAAAAGGTTTATTTTTTCTAACCCTTGCATTTTTTGTATCTAAGCTAACCATTACAAAAGGTCTTTAAAATAGTATATCTAATCCAGGCTTTTTAAACACTCTGTTCCTACTAGCTTATACAGCAAAACAACTAGTATAAAGTAGTATAATTAAAGTGTATCAATTCAATCCTCGATTCTATTTTACGATGGTACTAATTCCAATTTAAATATCCCAATAGAGTAATAGACCATGAATTGGGAGTCGAGTGACCGTCGTTTATTAATGCTAATTGGCTCACGTTAGTGTGAATGTTATGTGATAAGTGTAACTGCATAGTAGAAAATATTATTGGACTTGACCAACATAAAGTCTAAAATAAGTTAGTTTTTTTATGATAGAATTGGGAAAAAGCCTGGGGTTGACTTGATAAAAGGTGATATCTATAGGAGAAAGAAATATCCTAGCCAGTCAATTCTTGATTCGAATTGAAATGACATCTCAATAAAATGCGCTGTCGACCTATTTTGTATATACATAACACTATATACTATGTTTACTTGACCATTGATTTTTTTACTTTTTGTCTTAATTTTTTAAATAATATATCTGGAAACAGTACTCTCACATAATAGTGACATCATTTTCTATTTTAGAATTATTATTATTTGTAAATCTTGTTTGTCGGTTCCAGGCGTATGTCAGACGGTCTCTTCTTAAGGTGTTGTCGTGACCTTGCCACCAAGTACCCAGACATCAAATTCGAGGAACGTTACCTCGATACCGTCTGTCTTAACATGGTGCAGGACCCCTCCAAGTTTGATGTTCTGGTTAGTATTTGCTTTACAAGTTATTTACATTTTGACTTCCCTATAGGAAGATCATGAAACATTATGTGTATCATTGATCACAGTCTGAAAAGCTGAATTACTCTCAAATCCCATTGCAAAGGCGAAAGACATTTTGGGTTGTCAACCTATCTGACTGTACATTATGTATTTAGAAAACATAATATCCGATTAAAATTTTAGGTGATGCCTAACTTATACGGTGACATCATGTCGGACATGTGTTCAGGGCTTGTTGGAGGTCTGGGTTTGACACCCTCGGGCAACATTGGCAAGAACGGCGCTCTATTTGAGTCTGTGAGTATTTCTTTTAAATGGAATATCACATTATTTCATTTTTGTGTTTATATATTGTTTATATCATATTATCAAAAAATTTTGCTCCACTAAATACTTGACCTAAATGTCAAATGCACTTCCGTAGTTTAAAATGTCTTAATTTTTGAACAATTGTTTTTTTTTTCAAATATTTTCAAAAATTTTTGGATAAAGATACTATCAATCCATTTATTGTTTTGATAAAGGAAGGTACTTTTTTGTTGTTTGTTATATACAGCAGGGAAAGTTTTAAAAACTATCGGTTTTAATATTGACCGATTTGTAAAATATATATTAAAAAATTAAATGAAAGTGGTAAAGAAGACTGGCAACATTATGTAAGTTTTTTTATAAGATATACCACTAACCGGTGTGGGTCCATGCATGACTGACTTCTGCATTGGTTCATTTATGTCTCTGCAAAATAACATCATTTGCTGGTATACATGTTTTGTGATGACTATAATGCAAAATGTATTGTGATGGTCCAAATGTTTATTTTAACTTCAACAATGTCATAGCTTGAGTGTCATATTTGCCCTTACTAATAAAAACTACAATCTTTCTAATGAAATATAATAATATGATGTATTCTATAAATATTTTAAAGTGTTTTTCAATTAATTTACCTTAAAAGATATAATCACAGTTGTTTTGGTACAGGCAATTAATTAATTTATTATATTTAATATGACGATATTATCCTTCTTCCATCCAATTTCTTAATCTGTCTTAACGATGGTATGGCATTAAACATGTTCCAGTTTGAGAGAGTCTTCTCCCACTACCACTTAAGCTCTAACTTTATTACTGTCCATGTCATTAGTGAAGGTCCTAGTTAACTTGTCTATACTAACGTAAATAAACCAACCTTATACTTGGTGCGTTTGTCCTTTTCTTTAACCTACTGTTTGTATGTACTAACCTCTAAATGTATCAAGGTGCATGGAACAGCACCAGCAATTGCGGGTCAAGATAAGGCGAACCCCACTGCGTTGCTTCTATCTGGAGTCATGATGCTGCGTCACATGCGCTTTTTGGAGGAAGCTGATAAGATAGAATCGGCGTGCTTCACGGTGCTGCGCGAGGGCAAAGTCCTAACCGAAGACCTGGGCGGTAACAGCACTTGTTCGGCCTTCACCAGTGAGATCATAAAGAATCTGGCTTAAGGTTAATTGGAATGCGCGATAGGCTATTTGAAGTAATTAAAACCAATCATCACGAATGAATATAAGAAGATTAGTTTAGAAATATTAGATACAACAATGTTTTCACTAGTAAAATGGTATATTGCATTGACATTTTTAGATCTTACATCACTGTTTTTCTGGTTTTATTTCATTATATAAATTATTCAAATAGCCTATAAATGCAGTTACATTCTGAGCGACTACTTTCGCTTTAATTCATAAACTCGAGGTTCTGCGAGACTCGTGTTAAATATTGTCTAGACGAATTATGTTAAGAAGTGAGGTTGCGTCAAACTGGATATTAAAATATCCTGCGAACAAGGGCATCTATAAACGAATTTGTTTTTACTGTTTGCTGTAGCATAGCAACAGGCGGCATCTTCTATGAAAAAAAAACTAAAGAAATCGAAACCCAGAAGAGATACTTGTCGAATAATCGAAGATTACTGCTTTCAACTGTCATTGTATTTGTCGGGGAAGCAGTGATGAAAAAGTTAAATAGAATTTTTATTATAATGAGGACATAAAATATATAGGAATGTAATTTTCAGCCATGATTTTACAGTATTGACAATATTCTTAAGTTTATGAATTTATTTAGTTTCAACTTTTATTATAATTAGTTAATTAGCAGACTTGTAGTGTGAGCTCTTATTTATTATTAAATATGGTAAGTTGAGTTAGCCAAATGAGTATTATGATAATAAGATCTGTGTACAACTGGCATTTTGTTTCTGCCTGAAATTGTTCCAAAAATGGTATAAAAACTATTTCTAATAGTTTTATTTTTTGTGAACATGCAAATCAAAATAAAACTGCCAATGTCGTTCATACTTAGGTGTTGTAGGATTTAAATTTATGGCAACTGGTTGAATATAATCTGTGTACACAGCTAGTACTGCCATGTTGCGAGAACCCTAAAGTGTTACCATAAGATAAGACTAGTGAGAAATGGCTGTTTTTATGTATTGTGTCGTTTCCTAAATTCGCTAGTGAATTTTATTTTATATTAAATTAAAACATTTTGTCCTTATAAGTTTTAACTATTTAGTACTTCTACTAAGCTTGTAGTACTTATTTCAATTGTTCCTTTGTACTTTACACATTCCAATTTTATTTTTCTTTAATTTAATTTTTTATAATTTCACAATATTGTTTTAAATCAAGTACATAGTTCAGATGAAATCTGACAATAAGCTCGATATGTATTAATTGTGACGTGACTAAGCGATGTTTTTGTAGTTCTAAGAATAATTTATGTAGTAAATACATTGACCTGAAAGTAGTCGTGTTTTATTTTAATCCCATGTTTAAATAAATAGAAACTGGTGTTTATTTTATTGCCTTTTATCCTTTACTTTTGTTCACTATTATTGATGAATTATGAAAAAACAAGCGTCAATCTTGAATTAAAATAATATGTGTGCCTATACCTACACCTAGTTACTACACAATATATAACTCATCATCATATAAAACAAAATACAAATTCCTTAATTTTTTTTAAGTAAATATTTTTTTATATGTTATTAGCTGCTTTCTCTATTAATTACGACAATTACAGGATATTGGTAATGTACTAATCGAAAGTATTTCGCTCTGCTTTTAGCGAACAAGTTTTTTACCAACTAGTAGTTTAATGTTATTTTAGTGAATAATCTTTTACAGGTTCACGGTACAGCTCCCGATATCGCTGGAAAGGACATGGCCAATCCAACAGCTCTGCTTCTATCTGCGATCATGATGTTGCGGCACTTACAACTTAACGAACACGCTGATAGAGTTCAAAACGCTTGTTACACAGTACTGGCTGAAGGCAAATCATTAACTGGAGATCTGGGAGGCACTGGCAAATGCAGTGAATACACACATGCCATTATTTCCAAATTGTAATTTCAATACAAATATACGTATTTGAGCTATCTTCTTAGAAGTAGTCGATCATTTGGAGTCATTAGGTACACAAATGATTGTTCAAAAACATAATTTTTCTTACACTCCTCAGATTATTATGTACATACATACAAAAGTTATAAAATAAGTTTGTGATTGTATCGCCAAATTTCCAAAGACAAACCTTTTATTCTTAAGTGCAATTATTTAATGTCAATTTTATTTATTCCCTTGTATTAAAATAGATTCATTTTAATTGGATGCAGATTTTATTTTATTCCCCTCTTTAACTTATTTTTTTAAACTATGTAGTAGTTTTTAAAAATAAATTTTTCAAAACAAACATTGTTTTGAAAAAGTTGTGCATGTGTTCCAACATTATCATGTAAAATGCAATATTTGTACTCTTTCTAGTACGAAATACCTTGTTTGTTCTGAACTTTGAAGCCCGCGGGTATTTTTAAATTGCCAATCTCAACGACAATCCATTCAGTGCTGCCAACTTCGAAATTTCACCTTTAATTTTGGGAGAAATAAGGAATCCATGGGTTATGCACTCACATATATACGCAGCTATTTTATATTATTATAAAAGGTGTGGGGGTTTTAAATCAATAAGAGCAATTGAAGCTTTTCCTGGATAATCATTCAATAGAAGTAAAAAAATAATATTTTGGCACTTGCTTACTTTTCAACAGTAGTGTCAATGACAATGACAGTTGACTTATCAAACTTTTCATGTGTCGTTTAGTAAATAGTAATTATAAAACTCGTGTTGTGCTGTGTTGTTTACAAATGTATAACCTACGAAAGTAACAAATTTTCGTATTATTCAAATATTGTATCAATTATTTCAAAATGGTTAAAAGGGTAAGAAGCGTCATAACGTATACGTATCATTAATGCCAGTGTGCTGTATGTTTACAATTACTGTTTTATTACAGAATATTAAAACGTCTTTATCAGAAGACGACGGTGAAGTCTTAAACGAAAATGGTAAACGCCTAGCCGAAGAAGCGAATAAAGAGAACAAAAAACGTGTTCGTACGAAGAATTTATATCGCCAGCCTACAGCTAATGAACTCAATCGCCTGCAAGAAACAGAAAACTTGTTTAATTCTAACTTGTTTAGACTGCAAGTTGATGAAATTCTTGAAGAAGTTAAGCTTACAGAAAAAACAATAAAGCGTTTCACGGAGTGGTACAATTCGTTCAAAGTGTATTTGATGTCTATAGTTGAAGATGATCTAGAGTTTGATCTCTCAGAGAAAAAAATTACAAAGTTCCTAAAAGTGAAGTTGCCAATACTGGAACAATTGAGTCAAACTAAAGCAATGTTTAAATTCCATAAATTCAAAGATATAGATATAGTTGGTTCCTATGCTGTTGGTAGTACCATCAATGCCAATCTCATGGTTGATGTTCAAATAACTGTACCTGCTGAGACTTATACAAAAAATGATTCAATCAACTACAGATATCATAAAAAACGTGCTGCATATTTAGCTTACATAGCCTCACATTTACAGAAATCTGATTTAATTGACGAATTGCATTATTGTCTGTTCAATATGTCTTTAACTAAACCAGTACTAATTGTAAAGCCTAAGGGTAAACTAAGTAATACGTTGTTAGTGAGACTGAACCTTGCATGTGATGACGAAGCATATAAACTTCATAGGTTCAGCCCAAAAAGAAATAATTTGCGTGAAACTTGGTTATTGCAATCTGAGAAGCAAGAATGTTCGGCAGTCGGGCCACAAACACCATATTACAATTGTAGTGTTCTAAGTGACCTTACAGCCAAAATAAACAACGATTTTATAGCCACTACATTATCAAATAGTCAGAACCTAAAGCAAGCTATTATTTTATTAAAAATTTGGTTAAAACAAAGGAAATTATGTGTGTCAGGACATATAATTAATATGTTAGTATGTTGCTTGGTTCAGATAAAGAGAATTAACAACATAATGAGCAGTTATCAAATTGTCAGAAATATATGGATATATTTGAGTAAGTTATGGTTTTATGTTAAGTACTTGTAATCTAGATTAAAAATAAATTGAAAAAAAATTTCGACTCGAACAGACCTTGTCACTGGCTGTTGTCAGCGTAACGTGCTGTTGCTCTAACCAATTGAGCTACTGAGTCCTACACCCCATCATCAATTTTTTTCAACATATTGCTATATGTACCTCGTGTTATTTCAACTTTAGCACTTGTCTGCCTTTTCTTGAACTTTTATAAAATGTAATTATATGAAAAAATACCCTGCCTGAACATAAATGTACCTTAATGACATTGCAAACAACAGCTGTGAGGGAAGCTAGCAGCTCTTCTGGGTAATCAATTGAAGCATTTATTCAGATGAGGCAAGGGCGGATATTGATATGACAACTTTGATATTAATCTTTTAAGTAATTTAATTTGACTATTTTTTTCTAATACATTAATTATTAACTGTAAAGATTTATTTGGGAAACATATACTTATGGACATCAATCCAAAGATATTTGTCTATTAAAAAAAAGAGATATTCCGAATAACTTTTTCAGTTATAAACTTCTAGATCCCTTAGTGCTGAATTTATTTCATCTAAATATAGCACAACTATCTCTTGGGTTTACAGAGTCATCAGAATGGGATACTAAAGGCCTGTCCTTATCAAAATCTAAAGATGCACCACCCATGGATGAATTCCTTGAGAGCTTTCCTGTGGTCTTTTTGGACAAAACTGGCTATTATAACATCTGTTGGCAAATGTGTAAAGGGACATACAATGCATTACGTAGGGAAAGTGAATTAGCTGTGGAGATGTTGGATAATCCCAAGTTGAATAGTTTTCTTCAATTATTTATGGTGCCAGTGTCGAACTTGACACAATTTGATCATATCATCAGGTACAATTTACTTGTGTCAAGTTTTATTGATATTAAACCAGTTTAACTTCCTAACCATATAGAGGAAATTAAGGACTATAACATTTACTCGGATACACATACATCTTTTAAATTCTTTTGTAATTTTAACAGTGTTGAATGTTATAAAAATAATTAAAGTAACTAGGCTATCAGAATCAGAAGTTATTGCGATGTATGGAGAGTCTCCTTAACAACGTTAGGTATTCAAAAGGTTTTGAGAACATTCTTAACTAAAACTAATGTTTATCATCTAGGTTTAAAAACATACAGAGCCTGAAATCGTCAGTTTTGGAAAGAGTATCCAAAGAAAATAAACTGAATTATGGTCTTGATGAACTGCCGTTAGTAGTCAACAGTATCTACTCTTTACTTTCAAAGGGGCTTACAGACAGAGTTGATTTGATACTTCAGTTGGGAGAAGCTGACTTCTCTTGGCCGGTAAAGAAGACTTTAGAAAAGGCTAAAGAAGGGTGAGAATGTTGTTTTGTATACCAACATAATATTATTGCTGTCATTGTTTATCATTTTTGAATGTGTATCATTAATGTTATTTTAGGTATGACGAGAAAGTGTCATTTGGATTAGTGCTGAATCCTGCCAATGCAATTAAAATTGTAGACAAAGGTCCTCAGGCAAACCTTCCTGAGGCTGAAGAGTTTAGGTAAGGTTTATTCTTCTTAATAAATCAATAATTTCCATTTCTTTACAAGTAATTTAATTCTGCCAAGACGACAGTAATCATTTCGGAAGTGATTTTATTTCTTTACTAGAGATCATGTGCCAGATAGTAAAACTAAATATTTTTAAATAGTACACATTTAACCGTTTGTAACGTTCTCGTTTCATATATATAATTATTTCTATATATTATTAATTGGTTTTATTTTTATTCAGTCATAAACTATATAAACACACACCAAGTATATACAATTGTTCTATAAAGAATAGTCTTAAAAATACAACTATTATGGGCAGTCTTATTGCCATAGAAAGATCTCTTCCAGGCAACCCTTGTTGAAAAGAATATAAAATAAGATATATATCATGGGAACATGTATCTAGTCGATTTTTTTTACATTACAAGCGCGATATTTTTGGTGCTAGACTGTAAACTTCTGATATTTGGGGTCGTCAGTACATACTAGACAGAACTCCATCACTTTTATGATTTTTAGGCTATTCTGGGGTGACAAGTCTGAATTGCGTCGCTTCGCTGATGGGTCACACATTGAAGCCTGTGTATGGGACGGCGATACATTTGCGCAACGACGTTCTATTTCGACTCAGATAGTCGACTACTTGATGGAACTCAAGTACAGTAAGTAAACAACAAAAACAAATATTGTGTTATTTATAGTACTTTGATATTTTTATTCATATTCTGCACTACAGCTTTATAAATTATAGCTTTAATCCACGCCGCCGTCCGGTGTCTTGCGAATTAATCTAAAATAGAAAGAGGAATATTTGAAAACTTTATTAATTTTTACATGTTATTGCACATGAAGGCACTATATAATTTAAAAATCGACTACCCACTCCGTAGTCAATTTTTAAATCGGTAGTTCAATTGGTAGGACAGACAGCACGGAACACTGACGATGCCGGTTCAAGTCCTGCCCGAGACAAAATTTTTTTTTAATTTATTTTCGATTTTTAAATTATAAGAGGAATATTATTTTCTTAATATTATTTGAGTATTTTGAACCGTTTTCTCACCACACCCAAAGGAGACCTTAAAAGATGTATATTTTTCTACATTTCCCGCTGCTTTTTCCTGACTCTTAATAGCAGTCTGACATTTTATATATATTTTAAGCCGGCCTCGATAAATGTTGTTAAACAAAAGTAATTTTTCAATTCGAACCAGTAGTTCGTGAAATAAGCGCGCCCGAAATTAGTTAAAACCAACAAACAAACTATATATAATATTAGTATAGATTTATATATATATATAAAAGTAAAAACCATTTTTTTTCAGGTGTACAACCAAGAGATATCTTTCACATTTGCAACCAATTGGACAGTTTGACAGCTCGCAAAATGGCTGCCGCGGAACAGGGTGAAGAGGTATCGGTGAAAGTTTTGCGAGTTTTCGACGAATTGAGGCGGGATATGAGAGCCTTGACTCAGTTGCCACTCGAAATAAGCGCTGTTTATGGTTAGCCAGTTCAAATATTAATCTTCTTTGTTTATATAAAAAAGTTAACGGTTTAAAAGCGATATAAGCCGTGGTTACGGGGAGACAGCTGCTGTAAAGCATCCAAAAGTCGAGCAGTAGTTAAAAGAATTTTCAATAAGTTAAACTAATATATATCGCGTATTAAACCTTTAAAGTGTTTTACTTAAATATGTATTACTCGCATACACTACACACAGTATTTAATATTTTTCGTGTTTTCAACCTGCCACGGGCGAAACTCACTCTTCTTAATAAAAATATTCTCACTACAATGCCATGGTTTACATCAGGGCTTAAAACAAGTGTAAAAATAAGCTCAAATCTTTTTAGGTACGTCGTCAGTGTTCAGTTATAGCAACCCCTTGCCGCCATTACCCAGCATACCTGACCCTCGGGCCTGGAGAAAGGCTTCCACGTGTCTTATAAAGACGCAGAAGGATGATAAGAGAATATTTCTACCTTCTTACACTGAGGCTAACAGAGCAATGATTGAGTTATGTAAGTTAACGTAGCTATGTTTAATTCTACTACGATTTTTTTTTCATTAATATTTATACTTATTGTGATTATTGAAAAGAACACAAATTTTTGAAGAATAATCCTCCTCACCATTTTAATCAAGGTGGAAGGTCGTTTTATTCTTTCATGAAAGAATAAAACGATCCTCGCATATATCGTAATTAACAATGTTTATAATAAAATTAACAACTTACGAAATCTAAACAATTTTATCTTTATCAGGCAATACAAGTTTGTTTTGTTAAACATATAAATTAAATATATTACAGCCTACAGTGGTAAATGGCCGGGCGATATAGAAGCGTTTAGATGCCTCAAAGCCGCATTCCACCTACAAATATCAGATCGGATCAAGTCTCAATATTCCCTCGCGAGCCAGGCTTACCCTACCCACATAGATGTGAACAAAAATGGCCTCTCATTTAGACTGGAGATATTCCACCCAAAGGAAGTTACTCTACTAAGAAGAGAAGTAGTAGATGGAGTAGTAAAATTCAAGGAGAGTGAGGAAAGTGTAAAGTTGCAACGGGACACAATGCTCTTGGCCATTCTTAGAGGTGCTCTACACGGGTATGTAGTCTTATACAGTTTAGTTTGTATTCCTTAAGAAAGGAAAAAATATATTATGAGCTTCAGCATATCTGTCAGTAATGGTGAGATCAGTCCACCCCACTACACACTACGCTAATCAGCGGTAGTCAGAATGTATATTATCTGAGGTCGCGGTGTACAACTCAGTAGCCACTCGAAATAAGCGCTGTTTATGGTGGAGCTAACATCTCCTGATGATGCCGCTCGCTCGTGATGGCGAAACGTCGAGAACTTCTTCGAGAACTTACGTCGGCCGAACAACGAATAACATGACTGAACATGCCGTGAAAGCCTTATAAGATTTCTATTATAAGCTATCTTGTTTGAAGACGAAATGCTGTTCACAGATGCATCATGCATGATATGTCATGGTATAATCATGATTTTTTCGATCAAAAATATTACGCGGGCTGTACACATTGAAATAAAACACTAACCCGTGGGAGAAACAGGGAGATACCCTGTGACCACAGCTGCTGTAAAGCAAAAATCTGAATATATCATTAATTTAAGACTGCAGAAGCTAATTAAGCAATATATAAGGACTTTCTTTGACCTTTCAGACTACATCAAAAGCACCCAGCGTTCGGTCCCACGGCTTGTCTCTTCAAACGTTGGCTCTCTTCACATCTCCTGTCCCCCACGCATTTCCCCTCTACTCTTGCTGAGCTTGTCACGGCTAGCGTGTTCCTTCAGCCAGAACCATTAACTCCACCGACACAGCCCACAGTTGGGCTTTTTAGGGTCCTGCAACTGTTATTGAACACAGATTGGGCCACGCAGATGATTGTGCTCGACTTCAACGGAGATATGACGCGTGAGTACATATTTAAAAAAACATCCGAAACTTAGACTTCTTTTTTCGAAAATGTAAATGCAATTTTAAATTTAAATAATTAATCAGCCTGTGACAGTTCATTTTAGAAGCAGATCTGTGTAGATTTTGCTGGTTATATCTTGAAGACATTGCTAACAAACTCTCCATAGTTTTATTTCATTTGTAGTTTTTATGTCATTGTATCGGTTGTGTCTAATAACACGAGGAGATTAAATAAAATCAATATTTTCGAATTTATCTTCGTTATGTTTTTGTAGTTAATTTCCATTATTACGAACGTATCCACCGTTTTACGTAGTAATAAATTAAATTAATAATACATTTTTATTTTTTAAGTCACTCTTTCTCTCTTTTTCTCTGTCTTTTAGGCGAGGAAATAACGGAACTGGAGCAAAAATTCTCGGACCGTTCGGAAAATGGACCGCAAATGTGCATAGTGACGTCATACGATGGCGAACTACCGTCAGTGTGGAGTAGTTCTGCTCCAAGCCGCCAGGTGGTGCTAAGAGCGCAGGCACTGGCCAAAGCTACCCTCAGTTATATTGAGAAGGCGTTGATGGAAGATATGAGTGATAACATCTTGGTTAGTATTTATTACCTGTGAATTTGTTATTTTGTACCCTCATAATAGAAAATAAGTTTTAAAATATTTGTTTAAAAAGGCCTTTAGAGTACTTAAGGTAGTAATCAAGATATGCTTATAAGTATTTTTTGATAGTAAATAGACTTATTTCTGACCATTTTCAACACAGATATTAATTTTGTTTCTAGTTACAATTGTACTCAAAATATTTTAATATTAACTTGAAGAAATGTGAACTGAGTGTGATACATTTTGTATTTGTGTTTTGAACCGATTAAATTTGGTATCAGTAAAGCCTAGCACACACCCATATACCCTCACCAGCATGTTTAATGTAGTTTTCATATATTTTGTGGACTCTGGTTACCGTCACTCTATACAAATATTCATACATTTGTAGAACTACAGGAAATGTGTTTGTTGCGGTGGGCAGTGGTTAGTGTGTTTACGTACAGGTTTGGAATTTACTACTTCAATTAAAATTATAGCCAATATCAATATGATAATTTCAGGCAGCGTTCATCCCTTCGTATTCAGGGTACGATGTGTTGATACACTTGCACGCGAACCTTGTACCGCATTTCAACGAACGTATCGACTCTCGACCGAAACTGAACGCGTCTGATGACGTCATGGGCGACGTCATACCAGTACTTGAATTTAATCCAGTCGAGAAATACTTGGAAGAACTACAGGTATTTTGGTTATTTATTTAGAAATAATTTTTTGGCACACTGTCAAAGTCTATTTGGCAGACCAATAGAAAGCCTGCGCGTAAATTAAAAGGTGTAAAGTATTAAATAATTGATGTAATTTACGCTAGTCGGATACATTAAATAAAACACGTTGAACGGTTTATTTTAACTTCGACCCGTCAAACCGCGTCACAGAAACTAATGCAAAGGATCTGAAATGTTGGGCCATAGTTAAAATTAATAAGTTGAACTAATACATTTCGCGTTTAAAACCGTTAAAATGTTTTATTAAAATTATGAATAATTGTTATCAATAATAAACATTGTTAAAAGTTATTTAATTATATTTATAACAGCTTTAAAACAATTTATACATGTCGTCATTATTTATTTCAGGGTGCCTATGAAGACTTTGCGCTCTTCTTCCACGATAGCTTTGGTGGTGACGTCATTGCTGTTTTATGGAAACCACACGTCAAGGATTATAGAGATTTTCAGGTAACAGAGATATAGTATTGATTCTCATGTACAATTAATAAATAAATCATCTAGAACAAAGACTAAATGTAATTGTTTTAACAGATACCAGATTTCTTTATGTTCTTATATTTTACAGATCGCAAGTGCGAACGCATTAAAGCCAGTTAAAGTTAAAGGAGAGACGAAATACGAAGTCAATATTGAGGCAATTATTGAGGACTTCAAGCTTATCGGTGACGGCCTGGTGAAAGAAGTAGTTGTTAACATGTAATAATTGTAAAACGTAGATAAAATATATGAACTATATCGCTAAAGGTTTTTTCTTAAGTACTGACCGAATAAATCGTGCAGTTTTCCATTCTTCGATCTTAGCTAAATACCCTTGAGTTCTTATTATTATTTTATTAGTTATGAACGCGCTCATTCTTTATGTCACCCTTTGGATAAGCTCATCTTAGACTTCGTCTAGATATCTGGATATCAAATGGGTGGCAGGAATAACGAAATTCAGTTTTACTCACAAAACGCCGTTAAATGTTGATTTCAGTCAATATAGGTGTCACAACATTTTGAATAGATGCTATGTGACTATTATTACCTTCCAAAGCTAGGGTGTCCTCGTCTATCATAATAAAAATCGGTTATCCGTAAAGTCGGTTTATTGACTGTACTTGAAAGTGACAACGTCATAAGAAAATACTGATGGAATGGTTTCATTTTTTTTAAGTAAATTTTCATCTCAAGGTAGGAGAGAGACAAATTTCGAATCATGCCGAACGCGATGCCCGTTAGTGCTTCTTTGTCGCTCGTTCCGTGCTCTCGCTTGCACTTCAAGTTTTAAATGGAACGCCTCAAAGAGAGGTAACGCCGTGTGCCATATTTTTTCGTGCGTGCAGCCAGCTCCATCGACTTGTAAGACGTTGTCACGTCAAAAACTTGGTAGCTCATTTATATAGGACAGCTTAAACCGCATTGGAAACGAATAAATGTATTTTAAACCCTTATGAAGTATGGCAATGTGTCCAACGGCGCTGGATATCCGCGTATCCAATCGCCACCTTGGTATATTTGTGCTGGATCGCTCTGCGCCTGCCACGTTCCGCTTGGCAAGTAGACATCACGTTTTGTTGCTCCGTGCTCTGTCACAGGCGCTACTAAAATTGTTTCGCCAAGTAGGTACTCTGAAAATTTTTTTTGGTAATTATTGTTTATTCCAAAATGTGTATATACATTAGTTAGTTTTTTTCATATGTGTGATTAAGAATCTATTTGAGATTAACAAAATAATACCCTGCGGTTTTAGAATCTAACTTTCACGAGTTCTTGAGCTATCGTGTCCCGCTTCTCCTTATCGTAATATGTATAAATGTATATGCATATTAGGTTAAAATAATAATAACTAACTATAAACAATGTATAATTTAGTTTATACTCTGTTCTCTATGATTTTTAGAGCAGTGAATAATAATTATTGCTTATTTATTTGGTTCATAAATTGGAGTTAGCAATAAAATTATACAATAAATGTATTTGTAAATAGCAGGCCAAAATGTTACGGATATGTACTAAGTACAGTATATCTATATTGAGGATTAAATAACGGAGAAAATGTATAATGCGAAATATACTCACGGTCCCATATGTCAAAAGTCTCAGTGTTGTTAGGCTCTATCCACCAAAGAGGCGGGTTCACTGGAGATCCATCTTGGACTGCTCTCTCACATGCTTCTATTATTTTTGGAGCGAATTCCTCGTGGAGGTTAACGTACTTTTTGCTTATTTCTATTGTCTATGAAAAAAAAGACAGTTAAACGATAAATGTGCAGTATCCTCGGAAGATACATAAATTCGAATAAGATTCATTTAGAATAAAACGAATGGCGTTTTTATCTTGCAAATGCTATTTAAAGGCGTTTTATTTCTTTTTATCCTGCAACTACAACTTATATCTCGTTTTATATACATGTGTAATAGCGTACAAAAGTAAAATATAAGGCCCAACTAAAGCCTTTTCAAATATTACCTCCTCATCAAAATCCCAGGGCACATAAGAGAACTGTAGGCTCGGCATAAATGTTGAAGCTTGGAGCCATCGAATGTAGAGTTCCTTCGAAGGCGGTTCATTGTAACCATTCCCACCTATCATATCTGGCAACACAAAGGGGTATCCGTTCATGTTGAGCTGTAGAAGGGTAGTGATGACAGTTGGAAGGCCATTCTCAAACGTCCAATAGCTGTCCTTGTCAATCATTCTGATGAATACTGGAAGGTCTTGAGTCCTGCGAAGATTTATTAAAAAATAGAAAATAAATAGTAATCATTAAAATAGATAAACACTAGTATCTTTAATTTACTGATCCTAAAAAATTAATAGTTCTACCTGTAGCCAGTCCGAACTTCAACTAAAGGTCCAAATTGCGCCACTGTTCGTACATAGTCTGCTGTTATAACACCAGGCATGTCGTTTATGTCGCCATTAAGTACAGGAATCTAAAGAAATTAGGTCATTTGTATTATTGGATATTATTATGTATTTATTTAAAAAATATAATGAAACTGTTTTAGAACTAGGTATTTATATAAATAGGCAGGTTTTTACATTCACACAAAATTATAAACTGCTTAGACATGCAAGGCTTATAAGGATATAAGAAGGCTTTTAAGGGCATAGTGACCAAAATTTTTAACATAATTACAAATAATTGTTAAATTCATTTTCGCCAAAGTTAATTGCGCATTTTATGTTCCTCTTTATTGTAAATCATGTTTTTCGTTATCAGGCCACTCTGCCTTTAGCAGCCCCATATTACAAACCATGGTATTTATATTAGTAAAACATGTTAGTTTTTTATTAGAATATTTTAAATAAAAGTATCTCACTTGTGGTGACCAACTGGTCTCGCCTCCATCAAACTTGAAGCTATCTATTCCATATTCAGCTTGCAGAGCTTTTAGTCTGTTCGTATACCAAATGCGAGCCTCTGGGTTCGTGAAGTCTATATACGCTGTGCTGGTACCGTTATCGTTCCACCAGCTGGTTTCCACAGAACCATATTCGGATACTACTAGATACCTTGAAACACGAAAAAATTGCTATTTCTACCTATATTGTTTCTTAAAGAAGTACTAATGCTAGCTATATCAGAAGATTTTTTAAAGTTGTTATGCGGCTTTAAGTGGACCAAGGGCCACGATACGTTGTATTTATTAGAAAACTGTAATATATGTTGAACATTATTAGATTATATAAATTTAAATTCTATTTAGATCAGGATATACCGTAACCTCCTCCGACCGAGTCGTAATTTTAAAAAATGTAAATAAACATTTAACCCACATTGCATCATTTAAACTTTTAGGCTGGTTTTTGTGATCATACTGATATGAATAATTCTTCGACTTTGCGAGGACGACACAACACTAGTGCGACGCGATAAACGCGCGCGCCCCCGCACTAGCTCTGAAACTGAAATACGAACGATGGCGCGCATTTTGTGGGCTAAGCCTAATTTTGGCTAATAAATTAATATTTTCAAATGAAACATTGTTTTTCCGTCTTATCAATACACAAACAAAACAACGCATACAACTTTGTATGCATTCGCGTTTGTAATTAAATTCTTTTCCAAATAATAAATAAATAAAATAATCTAAATGTTTCTTAAATATACCGTAATGACTTCACTCTCCACTTGCTAATTAATATTATGTTGTTATATCTAACAACTTACCCTTTCCCAACTGCCTCCGAATACCAAGGTTCACAATCTTTATTGATGAACGGATGAGTCCAAATCGTTACTCTGTACCCCAAGCTCTTCAACATCGCAATCGTGTTCTTAAAATCGGGAAATCTTCTTTCATCCACTGTCTGCGAGCCATAGCAGACCTCCCACAGATCATCGATCTCTATATGACTACTCTTGAATCCGTGTTCCATAATTTCGTCCGCGAACTTCAGAACTTTATCGTGATTTATTCTTCTCTTATATCTAGCCCATGTTGACCACACCGGATAAGTTAACATACCCTCATCTGGTAATCCACTTGGTTTCTTCAGGTATCTCTCAACTGCGTACTCGTGGGCTGTTCTTGGGTTATCAAAGATACCAAGTGCGTAAACTAGTTCATTTCTCTGCCGTTTGTTCGAGTACGGAGGTTTAATCTGCGCGTAGAAGCACGCTGCGTTCTTATTAATGTTGTTCTGGTCGACGTGGAGGGGTACTTTCTTGTCAAAGTAGTAGAAGATGCCATCAGAACTTAGCCAGTAGGGCTCCGCAACTGCGCAGTTATCGGCTTCTTTGGTGACGTAGGAGTAGTCTTGTAAGAGAACGCGTTCTATTGGCCAGTATTGTCGCTTCTGTTCGGGACCTCCGTACCAATGATGACTACCTGGTAAAATGGCAGTTTTACGATAAGCATGAACGATCTAGGTATAGGTTGAAATATTTGACGCCAAAGAAGTTTACAGATAAGCATGAAATAGTCTTTGAATAACTTTTAAATAAAACACTTTAACGGTTTTAAACGCGATTTATATTAATTAAACTTTTTTGGAAATTATTTCAGCAATGGCCCGACATTTCGGATGCTTTGCAGCAGCCGTGACCACGCTTAACTATGTACATTGTAACTTGTATATTTTTGTTCGTAACTTGTAACTTTTTCACTTTTTTTATTGTCTTAGGAATACCTAAGAGTTTAATTTATTTTTTATTATATTTATTGTTTATGCAAGTTTTTTTATTAATAATATTTAAAGTTCTTAAAAGATTATCTTACCAAGATTCACACAATCCTCTAGTCTTTGATGGCTCGGCGATTCCCAAGCAATCGTGATGATGTGCCCTTTAGGTACTTCTTTAGTTGTGATGCTAATACGAGTATCGTTAGCATAGTGTATAATAGTTTCGCCGTCCGTTATTAGGTCAGTTGTATTGCCAGCTAATCGTCCTAAGACGGCTAGGACCTGCCGAACACCGTCTACAAATAGATTCTTTTATATTGGAGTATTAGGTCCCACTTAAATTATTTTCACAGAACATTAATATGGAGAAAAATTTATATCTTATAATTTGTGTTCGAATAATCATTTTCTTAAAAAGCAATTGCAATTATTAATGTGATCATCTAGTAAATAGGTCTACTTATAGTCATTTTCGGTACTTACTTCTGTCTAAAACGATATTGAGTCCTGTGTTATAATTGTCTTGAAGACTTACTGTGTGTTTTGGATCATCAACAAGCTTTATGTCAACTGCGCTTGCGCACGCAATTAGTATCGCGAGGACTGCTAAAACATTTTATGTTATTATCTTAGTTTAAAATTATTGGAATAAAGTAGATTACAATAAAAAGATGCAATATTTAGAAGGATTTTATTTTTGGAATTTTGTGTGGTACATAATAATTGTTACTTTTAATATGTATTAAAAAATAAGCAAGTGTCGCTTTAATTTTTATAAATAGAAGTTTTGTGTATCAATCAAATTTTGAAAACATATATTATATATTTATTATACTCACCAAAGAACGTGTGTCCCATACTGTAGGTCAATGTATGACTGCAGTATACGGATGGAAAAAGCCGCTTTGTGTCTGTTTTTCAGACTATCATTGTTCGCAATTATACTAACGATTAATAATTACACAGATATCAATGTACCTACATTTAATTATGATAGTCGTAAATATAGTTTAACAATAATGCTTTATTTACTTACGAGTGTCCTTAACTTCATAGGTGTACAGAACTGTGAATTGTTCTTTGTAAAAAAAATCTTGATTATTTTTCCTAAATAACATAGACATATGGCTTGTAAGTAAATAACTAAGCAAAACAGTAAATAACTCATCTGTTTCATGCTTGCACTAAAATTTGTAACGTTGTATTGTTATTTATTTCCGTTTCCGTAAGGATGTGTGATTGGTTTTTAATAGATAAATAAAAGTTACATACGAAAAATTGAAAATTCCTTAATAGTTTTCAAAATGGATGCCGCCGTACATTTTAACAGATGTCTTAAACACAATATGTCTAGCACTTAAATTTATCACCTAGCATTCCTCATCATAATTATGAGTATACCTCACTATACTCGTAAAATATTGTCTAGTCAAAAAAGGCTTTAAGGTTTAGCGTTTATTTAAAGATTCATCTAAACCAAAAAACAAAATAATGCGTTACATAAAGAACATTTATTATCACTTAAAACACTTTAATATAATCAGTTAAATCAAAATACCAATAGCGAGTACAGTTAAACCTATGCCAAAACTTAATGCGTTTGCTGCATCACGATCGCTCTTTTGTTCTTTCACGAAGTATGGTAGATAGTCCAGAGGCACTGGGTGGTTCTGTACCCAAATGGGACCGACAAGAGCCTTGTCAGGATCTCCCTCTTCATACCACACGCCTTCAGGGAGGTAGATATTGCGTGATCTACCGCCTTCTTTTAGTACTGGTGCGACTAGAATGTTCTCGCCCAGAAGGTATTCTGAAGGTTAAAATTCTGATTGTTAGTGCTTGAATAATTTGGAACCGATACTTCATAGTGATTCTGAAATGTAGAAAGATAATTCTATTGTGTTTCAGTGTAGCTAAGGCTTGTTTTTTATTTCTATTTCTTTATTTATCTTCATTAATTATAAACAGCACAGGATGGGTTTTATGTATACAAAATCTTATGAACTAGCTTATGAATAAGAGGCGGCTTTATCGCTAAACAGCGATCTCAGTCAGGCAACTCAAGTGAAGAGAAAATCTAAACGACGTCTATGGGAGGTGGTGCTATGGGGATAATTAAGAAAGGCAATTTATTTAACTTGAAAGGTAATATTTGAAATTGAGGTTTTGAATTGAGAGATTTCTTTTCTGATATCAGCGGGGAGAAAGTTCCAGAGATTAATAGCTTTTTAATGACATTAACATGACACAATTCCATAATCGTGACACTAAAGAATTTTAAGTATAAAATCCTGATTTTTTTTTTTTTTTTGGGGGTTTGGGGGGGGGGGGGAATTTTTTCGGGGGGGGGGGGGGGGAACCCCCCCCCGGGGGATTCCCCCGGGGGGGGGGGGGGGGGGGGGGGGCCCCCCCCCCCCCCCCGGCCCCCCCACAGCCCAAAAAAAAAGGATATGCTGAAGATGGCAGTGAAGCCTTACACAATTTACTGCTTTAGAGTGTTAAAATTAATTCTTACCATCCCATATTACGAGCGCCTCTGGGTCGTTAGGAGCTATCCACCAGAGCGGTGGGTTTACTGGGGAACCCTCTTCAACAGCCAACCGCATTGCGTTGTAGATCTCTTCTGCATAGCTTGCGTGCAGCTCTGTGTACTTTTTACTTATTTCTACAGTCTGAAAATATGATAAAAATCTCCTTATGACTCATGTAGTGCTCAATTAAACAATTTAAGCTCGAAATAGAGCAAATGTACGAAACAATTGTATCGTATTAAACGTGAATTCCCTGTGCTATAAAAGATCTATGAAAAACAAAATAGGCATCAATAATGAATAGTAGTAAGCTTTCGTAATATTTAAAGCATAATACTTTTTTATGATAGAGAACAGACAAGCAGGGTTTCACTTCATAGTAGGTAGAATACCTCAGCCATATAATCAAGATTCGCTGTCGGCAAATTTTGACATTAATGCTTCAAGTAAAATTTCTTGCATTAAACCAAAACTGTTTTACTTAAGGACATAAAGAGAAGTACTCTTTCTTTCGGCTAATTTATTTTGAAGGGCCCGTTGGTGTAACAGGCAATGTACGGCTAATAATCAACGGGTCATGGTCGATCCCCACCGGTTCCAAATTATTTCTAATCGATTTATAATTTTTCTGAAATATGTTGGACTTCGTCTGGGAATCTGGATGTTAACTGGCTGGTAGGAATATTGAAATTCCGTCAAGGTGACGAATTTCATTGCAGTCCATAGATGAAAAAGGCCGTGAAGTTTAATCGCGTTTCGGTTACAGTCTGTGGATTTCTGAATATCCAAACCAAAAAAGGTCGACAGTGGATCTTGTTTAGATGCCATAGGCTGGGATTATTCACCTACCATCAAGAGAAACTCTAGCTTGTCTGTCCTCTATCACTATAAAATACATATAATCACGTTGCATGATCGGTCCGTCTCTACAATAAAAATATGTTAAACTATACGTTACTTTAAATGTAAATAGTGCAATGATCGTTATAACTAATTGCGCAGTGAAACTAGCGTGTAATTGATTACGACTTATTGTTCTAGAATCTAGACAATAAATTTATTATAATTACGTACGTACTGACCATTCAAGTATTTTTAAAATGACACTTAGGTATTATGAGGTGTTGACTATTTATCATTTTTAATTGATGTCTAAGCGGATCTTAGGTTTGCGCAAATGGTATTTTTTGTTTAATTGACAGTTAACGGTTGTAAATAAAACACTTTAATGGTTTAAAACGCGATATATTAGATTATTATTTTAGTTAAACTTATTGAAACATATTTTAAGTTCCCGACGTTGAATGCTTTGCAGCAGCCGTGGTTACGGGAGACACACGTGGTTAAAGTATTTTATTTACATAATATGTACTTTTCGCGTAATCTACAGACATTATTTAGTTAACGGTTAATTTAATTTGTGTGAGATGATTTTTCTTGATTTAGTATAGAGGCCAAAATATTAACTTAATTTCCACGTCTTTCTGTCCACGTTAGTACCTACATAAACAGAACAGTTTTATTTTAAGATTTGAAATAAGAATGCGTGAGTGGTGCAACTATCAATAAGTAGAAAAAAATCAACAATTAATTGGTTAGAGTAACAGCATGGAACGCCGTGGATGCCGGTTCACGTTTTGCCGATGTCGTAAATTTTTTCAATTTTAAATCGATTTTTTTTAAATGTTACTATAACCCTGCGAACCAAATTGGATCTTGTTCAGTCTAGACTGAAAACCCCATCATCCATCACTTAAGATGATCTTTGTCTTGACTCGATTACATACATTACCTCATTATCAAAGTTCCATGGCACATAAGAGTATTGCATGACTGGCAGGAAAGTGTTTGCCTGCACCCATCTAATGAACAGCTCTTTCGATGGCACATCCGCCTGCTCATGGTTCAAATTGAATCCATTTCCACCAATCATATCTGGCAGCACGAAAGGATACCCATTCAAGTTCATTTGGAATGTGGTTGTTATGACTGTTGGTAAACCGTTGTTGAGGCCCCAGATGGAATCCCTGTCTACCATGCGCACGAATATTGGAAGGTCTTGAGTCCTGCAAGATTTCGTTCCAAAATTTACCTTCCTAATTCGCTTGAGAGACAATTATAATTAAAATACAGCTAGTATCTTTAGTCGTTCTGTTATGTTATTGAAAAATATGGATCAATAAACAGATTCTTACATAAATCCACCTCTGACTTCTACCATATCTCCAAATTCTGCGCATGTTCTCACGAAAGCTTGAACTATATTATGTGGTTGCAAATCTATGTCCCCACTTTGAACTGGTATCTGCGATTTAAATGGTATTTTAATTTTATATTTATTTAAATCAAATAAGATTTTTTTTATTTTTGGAGCTTTCTTGTAGTCTTGTGTTCTGTACAAAAGTTATGTCGTTACAGTAATTTTGAAGACCATTCGATAAACAAGTAAAATCGTTGACTGTTAATATTCATTTTTAGAAATCTGCTTTACCTGTGGTGTGTAACTGCTTTGCCCTGCGTCAAATTTAGCACTGTCTATGCCATAGGTTTCTAGAAGATTTCTGACTCTATTCGACCACCAACCGGCAGCCTGTGGATTCGTGAAATCAATGTGACCAGGAGCGGTTCCGTTGTTGTTCCACCAGGACGCTTCAGCGCTTCCTTCCTCATTTACTACGAAATAGCTATAATATAAAGTACAAAATATTGCATATATTGGTCTAGTTTAAGTTGGAAAAGATCATGTAAGGTATATACATACCCATTTTCTAAAGCCTCTGTGTACCACGGCTCGCAGCCGCTGTTAATAAACGGATGCAACCATATTGTTACCCTGTAACCAAGAGCCTTAACCTCTTCTACAAGGTGGGTCAAATTTGGGAACTTATTGGTATCAACCTCAAGAGATCCATAACACGTCTCCCAAAGATCATCAATTTCCAGCTGTGAATTGTTGAAGCCGTGTGCCCTTATGTCATTTGCAAAATCCATTACTTTTTGTCCAGTTACGTTATATGAATACTGAGCCCACGTAGACCAAATAGGGTGTTGGACCATTCGAAAATCTGGTAAACTGGATGGCTTTCCAAGATAATTGGCAACAGCGTGCTTGTGGGCTGCTTTAACGTCTGGCAGAAACCAAATGTCATAAGATAGTTCAGTATGCTCTCGTCTTGTAGAGTAAGGTTCAGCGATTTGTGCACCGAAGCAGATGTTGTTGGGATTTAACTGGTTGTAGTCTATGAATAAGGGTACTTGTGGGTGAACATAGATATACTCTCCGGCTGAATTAAGCCAATATCTTTCCACAATGTTTGCATTGTCTGCTTCTCTTGTAACGTAAGCGGTATATGTCTGATTGGCATTTTGGATGGGATAGATTTGAGTCTCCTGCATGGGTCCACCATACCATTGCTTGGTTCCTGAAAAATACATATTACAAAAAATATTTATCTATTATAATCTATGTAACTTAAGTAAAATATGTATAAACATTTTATGTAGTTAATACAGGTCAAAGGATCTTAGATTAAATCAATAGTACTAAAGCATAGTCCTAAAGTGAAGATTGATATAAATATAATATATTTTTATGAAGGTTATTCTATTTAAAAAGTTACTATGATCCAGACAGATTATCCAGATTACAATATATACAAATTAGATAAATGTACGTGGTATTTACCGAAATCAAAACAATCTTCGAATCGGAGTTGTTCTTTAGAGTCCCATTTAATTTTAATGCCCCTTGCATTGGCTTCACCATCGTAATATGTATGGACAGTCAGGTTTGCACTTCCTATGTGTATAAGAACTCCTCCATCGATTTCTTCGGATGTGAAAGGCGAATAGAATGTTCTACCAATCTGGCCCAAAATTTTTTTATCCTCTCCTACAACATAAGGTGCGTTAAAAGATGTCTATGGTTTGTAATTTATAAGGCTTAAATTTTATAACGCAAAAACTGTACAACAAAGATGTTAAAGAGTCTTATAAGTATGTATTAATATAGTAATTCAGACTTTTTGTGTACGTAAACTTCGTGCAATTGTTTTGCTTGCAATTTATGATTGTATATGTATACCTTCCCTTATAGCAAGAGAGAATCCTCCAGTGAGTTGTGGTTCTAAGGTTAGTTCAACAGCATCGCCTCTTACTTCTACTGGTAAGGTCTTAGCGACGACAGCCAGAGACAGTAAACCTTTTCAAAAAATATTCTAGAAAATCATTTTACTAAACCATAGAGATTTTTCCTTACTAATTTGCCTATAGGCATTCTACAGAATGAATCATTGTAGTATCTATACTGTTGGAGTAAACAGTCATCGTATACGGTCTTTAAAGATTTTTATGATAGAGAGAAAAAGAAAAGCATGGCGTTAACTTAATACAAGATGCGCGGTCAACCTATTTTGCCTTTGGATATTGTATAAGTCAAAAATAAACATACCAAGAATTAATGTTAGAACCGCCATTTTGCACCATTTAACAGCAGTTACTGCCTTGTACCTAGGTGTTATCCGAATCTAATCATTTCTCTCGAACCATTGATATCTGATAATCTTTAAAAACTACCGTTGACAGCATCAGTTAAGATAAAACCTGAAATATCAAATTCAGGAGGGTTAAATATAAGTTCTGAATTGCATTCGGAACATTTTAATGAAAAGTAATTTTGTATAAGAATGATCATAGTAACGTTCGCAGTTGATAGTCACGTAAATTACATATGACTGTTGTATCGAATGAATTTTACTTTATAGGTACGTTGGAGGCTATGACTCCAGCCCCCTTTATGATTTTTTGTCCAATAAATTTATATAAATAACTTAATTGTTATTTAAGCTTTAAATCTCACTTAGTAGATCAAAGCAGGCACAAAATAATCCAAGTTTAAATCTAAATATGTACCTATAACAACAAAATTTTAGCATCCTTTACGAAGAGCAAAGATTAGCGTAACGTGTATTGGTAGAGCAACAACACGGAACGCTGACGATGCCGGTTCAAGTCCTGCCCGAGTCGAATTTTTTTTCAATTTATTTTCGATTTTTACATTATGTAACGTAATTAGTTAAAATACTTAAAGCTAGAGTATATTTAAGTTAATTAACTCCTCCCAAGTTATATAACTCTAAAAGGTTTTCAAAACAGTTAAAAAACCCCCCTTTTTTTTCCCCCCGGGACCCCGGGGGGGGCAAAAAAATCCGAAACTTCGGGCCGAAGTTAAAAATCATTTTCAAAACTAAAAAAAAAAAGGGGGTTAAAAAGGGGAAAAGGTTTTTTTTTAAATTTGAATCTTCCGGGAAAAAAAAAAGAAAGTATTTAGTTTAAGTCAATCTGTGTGTCTAAACTGTTTTAGTGTTTTTAATATAGGTGTAACTTAAATAAAAATGCAATTTAACTTAACGTCTTATATACATCGGAAACGAAAGAAAATATCAACACATATATTTAGAATTTGTTTTATTCCTCCAATGTGAAGTATGGTAGGGTATCTAGAGGTGCTGGGTAGTCTGTCAACTTGATAGGACCCGTATAGATCTCGCCAGTGTTGCCGTCCTTCCAGGTGCCTCGAGGAAGGTAGATATCACGAGTAACCGCGCCTTCTTCTACCACTGGGGCAGCAAGCACTCGTTCACCAAGAAGAAATTCTGTAAAGGGTTGATTGCCGATCAGCAAAGAAAGGATGATATACGAACGAATAATCGGCTTTATCTTAAAGCCGAAATGAAACAATTAAGTTTCTTTTCGCTCAAAAACCGTACCTACTGTTTCCCACCGTACGCTGACACTTACGGTCTAAAATATTAATAATTTGTCGTTGAAAAGTATTTTAATACGCAGTTACCACATTATAATTATGATTATCATCTTTGCTAAACACACAAGAAAAAAAGCAAATAATTAAGTCGTTTAGAATTCTAACCGTCCCAAACGCCGAGGGCTTCTTCATCTTGGGGATCGATCCACCAGATCGGGGCATTGACAGGGGTACCGTCTCTGACAGACGCCTCCATGGCAGCTACGATCTCGTCCGCAAAGTCGGCGTGCACTTGTGTGTATTTACGACAGATCTCTACCGCCTACATGAAGTTAGAAAGAAAAAAGAAATTAATGAATTAAAAAAATATCTAGGAGAATTTTGGTAATTTTAAAAAGGAGCGAGAGATTATATAATTTATAATTCCATCAAATTGCAAGTATTTTTATTTACACGATGGATGTTGTTTTTTGTAGAAAATAACTAATCTTTTTAATAATCTTCATAGACATATCAAGCTTATCTTATTTTCTCGTAACATGATAAAGATTGTGCTGGATCAAGTGACATCTGTATTAAAATTTGATAAGAATTATCTTTTCCCCTTGAATTACTGTTGGGGGTTTCTGTATGACATAATAGTACAAAAGTACTACCTCCTCATCATGATCCCAGGGCACAAAAGAGTACTGCAGAGTCGGCATGAAGACATTAACTTGGAGCCATCGCACGAAGAGCTCTTTGCTGGGTTTTTCGTTGTATCCGTTGCCCCCAATCATGTCTGGCAACACAAGTGTGTATCCGTTAAGGTTCATGGCGAGAAGAGTAGGGATCATGGTCTGTAGCCCATTGTTGAATCCCCAGTAGGTATCTTTGTCTACCATTCGAACGAATACTGGCAGATCTTGGGTCCTGAAATAATTCGAAGAGTTAGTAGTTGCAATGGTTGAATGTAAGCAGAAAATTATATAAAATACTTCTGAGAGAAGTTCGTGCCTCTATTACCATTAACAGTAAGAGTATATGAGAGTTTTTGTCATTATAATTTATAATAGAGCAGTATTCGTTCTTTAATCTTTTTCCTTTATGTTTTGCTTATTTTCATGATCGGCTCAATTAAATGTTATGTAATATTCCAAGGTTTCGTTTTGTGAACCCTTTGTAATACCTCATTCCGGATCTAACTTCGATCATAGGTCCAAATTCGGCGACAGCACGCACATACGATTGTACAATGTGACCTGGGTGTAAGTCAATATCGCCGTTCTGGACTGGGATCTATAGAACAACAAAAATAAAAAAAAAAACTCTTTTATTGACCTTAGAATATAATTTTTAAGACTTTTATGCAAATATCAAAGAACACATAGAGATGAGGCAATTTTTGGAAGATAATATTAATATTCTGTGAAGTTCTTCCTCAATAAACGTATTTTCATTCAACGTAATCTTCTCCTTACTAAAGTACCTCCTTAACTTCAAAATCTTATTTTTACCTGTGGAGACCAGCTCGACTCTCCAGCATCAAACTTCAAAGTGTCGATGTCATATGTTTCAACTAAATCTTGAATTCTTGAAGTGTACCATTTCGACGCTTCTGGGTTAGTAAAGTCAATATAACCGGGTATGGACCCGTTGTTATTCCACCATTTTGTGTCTGGGCTGCCCTCTTCGTTCAGTACTAAGTATCTAGATAGATTAAAAAGAATTAGTACATCTAACTTTCAAAATTACTTTTAGTATGGGGGGTTTATTGTGTGTAGGATATAGCTAACAGGTAATCAAATAAATATTAGTCGATTTTATGGCGGTGTTAAAAAATATAATGACTTGCCTAAATTATAAAGAAATAGTGTATTATTTTTTATATTAAATAAGAATTTTTTATGACTATTAAAATTATCAAAATATGTCGAAGCCAAAAGAAGTTTCGACGTTTGCACCATCTGAATTATAGCAGGTTTTTTTTTATTTTTTATTTGCCAGTGTCAAGTTAAATTATAGCAGGTTAGTGAAGATTTTTATTAGTAAGATCGGAAGAAGTTGTGTCAATTTCAAATTTCGAATACAAACCTCGGGCGAGTTTCACCTTGTAGTCAACACATACCTACCCTCATATGTTATTGTTGATATATTTGTGATTTACACTTAAACATACTAAAACTTAATGTAGATACTTCTTGCATACATCTCGTTGTCGTTAATATACATCTTTAACCTTATACTTAGTGAAAGAATTAGCAATCTTACCCCTTTTCAAGAGCTTCAGAATACCACGGATCACAGTCCTTATTGATGAAAGGATGAACCCAGATAGCTACTCTGAATCCAAGGCCCTTGATGTCCTGGACCAACTGCTTCAAGTTTGGCAATTTATTCTCGTTAACTGTCAGCGAACCGTAGCAAATCTCCCACAAGTCATCGATCTCGAATTGTGCGTTCGGGAATCCACTGTCTTTGATCTCGTTGGCGAACGTCCAGAGGATTTCCTGGTCGATTTCACGGGAGTACCTAGCCCAAGTAGACCAGATTGGGTACTGGATCATTCGGTAGTCGGGAATGCCTGATGGTTTGCCCAAATAAGTGTCGACAGCGTGTTGGTGAGCAACTTTAGCATCGCTGAAGAGCCATATATCGTATTGGAGAACGTTGTGGGTTCGTTTAGTGGAATAGGGGTCCGCTACTTCAGCTACTAAACAGATGTGGTTGTCCATTATGTTGTGATAATCAATAAATAGTGGTGCTTCTGGATGAACATAAATGTAGAATCCGTCAGAGTTGAGCCAGTATCTCTCCGACACCGCCGAGTTGTCGGCTTCCTTTGATACGATGGAGTACTTTTGGAGTTTGGATTTCTGTATTGGCCAGTACTGCTCCTTTTGTTCAGGTCCGCCGAACCACTGTGTCGATCCTATGTACAAAAAGTTTAAATAAGTGATAAAATTATACCTACACTTAAAAAAAGCTTTGCCGGCTCATTGGTGTAAAATGAATGCCTAATAATTAACGGGTCAATCGATTCCCAATTAAAAAAAAAAATCTGAAACATGTTCGGCTTCGTCTGGAAATCTAGATTTTAAAAGGGGGGGTGGGAGTATCGAAATTCCATCCTATTAATAATCCACCGTCGCAGATGAAACATCCGGAAAGTTGAATTGCGTTTCGATTTCAGTGTGTGGATTTCCGAGTATCCAAAGACAACAAAAGTTGACTTTGGATCATGACACATCAGTTAGATAATATAATTAAAAAAAAATCGATATTAATATGAATAGAAGTTTAAAGTAGAACAAACACCTATTAGTAACATGTATTGGCAATATATTACTTACCGAAGCTGAAGCAGTCTTCAAAGATTCTGTCGCTGGGGCCATCCCAGTGAATCGATATTTTGTAACCGTCGACATCTTCGTGGAATTCCGACGAGAAATTGAAGGTTACTTCGTCATCGTCGTTGGACACTTTGCGGCCCAGAACACCACTTAAGTCTTCCTTGGTGGCTGTTGTTAACGACAGTAATGTTGATAGATTAAATCAATGGTTTTAATACAATGCAGAGCTCCAGGATAAAAAACAAGTCGAGTGCGGAAATTTGTCTTTATCTCAAAGATCTAAAAGATATGTTATGTCACCTTTACCGTTAAGGCATTTTAACGAAAAGTTAAATAACGTATCTATCACTAAAACTTAATAAAGAAAGAAATATGATAGAATACTTTATGTCATCTCTGATAGAAATGAATTACTCACAACTGTAAGTTTTCGCAACGAGCAACTTGCCGTATCCATCTTGGTCTTCTAAGGAGATATCCTTGACCACTGATGTCCTGGGTACTGCCCCAAGCACTACCGTGATGCCTAATGACAATAATAATATTCATCGCTGAAATTTATGTTTCATAAAAAAAAACAACAGAAATAATAAGAGAAACCAGTACGTGTTTTTTACGGTCTTAAATGTTTTTTAATTGTTGTATTTTTCCTACGAACCGGTATATTAAAATCTATTAAAAGAAAATCTTACCTGCCAATAAGACAAGGCACCTCATTTTGTACTAAGAATATTTTTTTCATCTGCTGTGATCAATTTATACTTTCTTGATATCTCTTATCTTTTATACTTAGATCTTGACTATATTTTATCTTGTGCTGTAATACCAAATGTGGCATAAATCCTACCCTTATTGTAAAATAGATATTTAGAACACAAAATCCTCAATAAAACGATTGTAAATATAAGTACTTACTTGTATAATTGATTTTCAGCGTTGTTTGCCCTTTTTATTTAGCAGGGTGGGTTGCTTTGCTTTAAAATTTTCTCTCGTGTTATAAAACTTACATAATAAGTTATTTCAACTTTTGACGATCAAACTATTTTTTTCTGTAAATGTAATAGAAGTATATTCAGTGTAGCAGAAGGTTAAAAAATTATCTCAAACCTCGTACCAAGCCCATTCTATGGTCACTTTATATTTGTAGCTTATTTCATATAATGAAGGAAATTGCTAAACTTTTCTATTGGTTCTTATTTTCTTTCTCGTATTGGAAAATCGTATTCGTTTACTTTCTTTTGGCTAACTGGAATGTATACTTAACAAATAACATTTAACATGGAGTGGTATAAACTTTAATAAAGGTTAGTTATAGCTCATTCAATAAAGAAAAAAAGGGGGTTTCAACCAAATTTTCAGTGTTTTCAAATAATAAGATAAAAAATAAGATTTTATTTATGTAGCTTTTGATGTATTAAACCTGTTCTTTAATATATCTCTTTTAATTCCCGCCGAATCGGTCAATGTTTCCCCACGAATGACGTCATGCGCTGTAACCCTTGCGTTCAGTACAGATAAAAAATGTCAATATGTAATATAATATTTAAATGAATTATTATTCAATAAATGATATAAGATTCCGATTTAAGTCCCGGCTTCGCACGGGTAGATATAAATAAGTAGAAATATTTAAATTATAAGCATGCTAATTAAAACGACCATGAATCACTAAATTAGAAAAAAATTGTATTGCGCGTCCTCTCTGTTAACGACCGTGGTCTATCTCGCTGGTTCAGGAGCCGCTACGAGCTCGTTAGTGTCCCGTGCACGCGTTCGCGAATTCCTAGCTCTATTTCCTTCAAGTCGCTGCGACGATCTTGAATTTTGTTCTGCAAGACGACCCTGAACGTTCGACGATAGAATCTCAGGCTCGCGATTGGGACGCGTACACTCTTATACTTTCCAAACGATCATTTTAGGAAGAAGACTCTCCAATACGACGAACTTTTGCTGATCTCGCTTGGAAACTATTCTCAGATAGTTGCGACCTTCTTCTTCTAGGCATATTGTTATGAAGGATATTTATTTTAAATCAGAGAAATTAAGAATAAACTAATAATAATACAAAAGAAAATATTCAAGTTCAAAGCGATATTCTGAAAAGAACTTTGACAAACATTATGCAAAGTGTGATTTCTAATACTAAAGCTTTGAAAAGATTTTTAAGTTAAGTTTTTTTTTAAGTGATAGGATAAAAAAGTATTGAGACAGTCTTGAATATTAAATTTATTTGGATAAAAATTTATAAACGGTATGGATAACAAGGTCTGATTTTGATCGGCATTTCTATCAATTTGTTAAATGTAAAAAAGTAGTTAAAGCGACGTAACTACAATAGTTAGACATATGCTCTCGATGTTTTTTGTAGATATTGATATATTCTATAATATTGTCGAATATTTTTTGTCCTATCATTAATACTTTTCTCAGCGTATGCGAAGAAAGAGATTTTACGGCAATTTTTTTTACGCTTTCCGTTAGTTTGAGCTAGAATTTCTATAGATGTCTATCATAATCAAGTACTAAATATAGCCTAAGTGATAATGTAGCTTTCTAATGAAATAAGAATGATTAAAATCGGTCCAGTACTTTTTGAGTTTATCCATTACATACAAAAATACTTTATAATATTAGTATAGACTATCCGATCACTAATGGTTTGTGTCATAATTGTCATCTGACGTTGTCATTTGTCGCACATAGAGAAGGAATTTAAAAGGTTAAAAACAAAAGCGATTGTAAGGCAACAATGGCAGATCCCCGCATTAGACAAATAAAAATCAAGACCGGCGTTGTTAAACGCATTGCTAAGGAAAAGATAGTTTACGAGAAGGAAGTAGAGCAGCAGAAAAATAGAATACAGAAAATAAAAGACGAAGGACAGGACGAGCACAATATACGAAAGCAGGAAGAGGTGCTCCAAGAGTCTCTTATGATGGTCCCAGACTGCCAGAGGCGGTAAGCGTGTAATTCCACATTTATTTGAATATTTCATCATTTAAACTCGTTATTAAATGTTAAAACAGTTCTCAAATACCGAGGTCGTCCTCAAATAGCGATTTTCAAAACAGCTGCTTTTAGGTTATGTCAGGCTATACATTTTAAAGTTATTAGTTAAGTTATAATATCAGCGGCAAATACAGCAGTTTTATATTTTGACGTTTTTTGTTTTTTACTTTAACATGCTACAAAAAATTACTGTTACACATATTTCCTATAAACCTGTGCCCCATTTCTAGACTGGTAAAAGCATACACAGATTTGAAGACAACACTAGAAACAGAGCAAGACCTCAAAGAAAGTGAAGACTATATAAATGCCCAACAGGTTCTAAAGGACGCTGAATCACAGTTGCCCGAATCTGCCTAATTATAATTTTATTAATCTACTTGCATTTATTAACAATCATGGCTTATAATCAAAACTTTTATAATAATTTTCATGGTAACAATTTTACATTCCAATATCCATACCCACCACCTCCACCACCAGCCCACTCATTTTTTTCAACACCCCAATTATCTGATCAAGATTTTCTTAAGAAATTTGAGAGATTCTCAAGTGAAAAACAAAATGAAAAGAAAACTGTTACCATAACAGTTTTAAAAGCAAAATTAAGTGAATTACTGAAAACCTATAATGAAATATCTGAAGAGTTTTCAAGATTATCTGAAAATATTGATAATCACTCAGATACCGAATGGGAGGCAGCCTTAAAAATTATGTCTTATAAGAAAGAAAGAATAAGTAAACTCCTAACAGAATTTAGTGCTTCTTACATGGAACATGCTAGAAAATATCTGGCTAAAAGAACAGCTAAACGGATGCGATTACAAAGACTAAAGGAAGAGAGGAAGCAACAGAGGTTGCAACAAGAGAAGGATATGAAAGAACGGTCTAGAAAGATAGATGAGAATTTACAAAAGATTAAGGATGATATATTAAAAGCTAAAAAGGTAAATATTTGAACAATTATAAACCTTTGTGTTAAATAAATTAATACCATAAATATTGCTTTGGATGCCTATTACAATTAGGTAGAAAAATGCCAAATACCTGTAACATTTAACAACATATATGTGCAAGGTAAAAACATAAAAAAAGACACATTAATAATATATTACTAATATTTCATTTTAGGAAGAGGAGGCAAAATTAGAGGCTGACATGGTACTTAAAGATGTCCATAGAAAGAAGATAGATGCCAAGAAATGTCTCTCTAAATTAGAAGCTCTTTTAAAGTTACGCCAAGCTAGATTAAACACGGCTAAAGGTAGAGGGCAAAATGTTTCAGAAAGTGACTCTGCAATGTTTCAAAAGAATATAGGTAATGTATCTTAAATCTCCAAATTTGATCAAGAAAAACAGATATGCTGTATATTGAAAACTTTAATATTTTTAACATGCACTGTGCTGTTGCTCTCAGAACGCTTTTTAATTTATACACTGTATATTGTTAAAATTCTTTCCTTCGTCCAATATATAAAATAGTATTAAAAGGCCCCAGTCATCCAACATTAGTCTGTTTCTGCTTTGGATGTTGAAGGTTCTTGATAGTGTGTATGTCAGTCCTTTTCCCAAGAAGTGGGCACACATGCATGGTCCATACCATGGACTGATTACCTGGTCACCTGTTGGTGCCTCTAATGTAAAATAATATTAATAAACATTCTATCTACTGAATGATTTTTCATTGATACCAGATATTGAAACAACCATGTTACTAGTTAATCCACGTTATCTATATTTATAAATGTTATAAAATTAAGAGCCTATGAGTTATTAAATAATGAAGATACTTGCTTATTATTTACAGAAAAGCTTAAATCATCATGGACTGAAAGACTCGAGATGTACAATAAAGAAGAGAACAACCTTCGCGCCAGATTAGCTATTGTTGAAGAGGTACCGCTGAACCAAGCTGAAATAGATGTTGACAATAATTTGATCCAATGGAAAGAAGTACTATTTGGTGGTGAGAACCCACAAGTGGATTTTAAAGGAGATATTGACAGATTTGTTAATGTCCGGTAAGTAGATTTTAGTGATTATACAGTTTAGGTTGAAGGACCTTAAATAAATGTGAATATTGTGTGTTGTTTTAGGAGGCAATGGGACGATTATGTGGATGAGGGTGGTAGTCCAATCCCCGTTGGGTGGGTTTTGTAACCAGTATTGAATTTGTATGCACCTACAGCCTATTTTATATTTGTACTGCTTAATATATTTTTAAGTAACATTGCTATTTTTATTATTGATGCAACACAAGCTCATATGCATTATAAAAAATGTCTCGGTAAAAGGTAATTAGGCTATTTGACTACTTTTTCAGTTGCAACTGTGCCATAGAGGTGGGGAAAATATTACAACAAAATGATTCATTATTCAAGTCTTTTAATGGTAATTTTTTAAGAAAATTATTTGTAAAAACACATCAAACACATCTCTCATAACTTCTATTATATTGCATAGGTACTTATAATGTAAGGATTTCATATGTCGAAATGTTTTGAATAAACATTCCACCAAACATATTCTTATATAGCACTTCCTCAGGCCTTAAAGAAAAATACTTATATTTTAACCAAAATAATTTTCCAATAAGCAAATTGTGAAAATAATTTTTAATAATTTAAAAGAGCGTTTACTTCAATTCATTTACATATTTAAAATAATTCTTACATACACCATATAATAAAATATGTCTAATCATACCTGCACTTAGGGATTAGTTATCACGAGGTAATATGGCTTCGTGCCTATCTTTATAATTAACTTAATCCACCATCATATATACCATATATATAACTTTGAAGGTGTAATATCAGTACTTAACTTTTCCAAGGGTAAGGTAGCTTTTATACAAATAAAAGTGGTTTAATTGATTGGCAAAAAAACCTTGACAAAAAAGCCATGTTTGCTATAAAAATTGATCAGACAAATAGTTTATCTTCATTGGTCACCCGGACCTAAATTTATGTGGTTCCCTGGGACTTAAACCCAGGTCAACGCTACGGAGGCTAAAAGGATATTAAAAATAAAATAATAAATAAAATTTTAATCCTGTACACAAATGGGACACACTCCTTTAAAAAAAAAAGTATCAATTCATAAAACGTTCTGTTTGTCTTTTAGTAACCCCTTATATCCTAAACGGCTGTCATGTCGAATTTCACTATGGGGCTTTATCCAGCGTTACTTATTTTATTTTCAGTAATTTGCCTAGACCTTATTTATAGTTAAGTTAGTGCGTGATGTAAACCGAGTGAGGCGAAAAGGTTCGTAACTACTGCCAGATTCCGGCGTAGTTGCCGACGAGCGGAGCGGGCAGCGGTCCGCCGGCAGTGAAGATGCGCGTCCCACTGTCGTCGTAGCAGTGTGTGTATATTGCTGGCACGTACTTCACTTGGTTGAAGCCGTCCGCTTCTTCATCGGGGAACTGAAGGTTTTATGTGCATATGAGAATAGAATCGTTGTATTAGAATTTTTAAAGTACAATTTTTTTTTAATTATAATTTATTTAACATTTTTCATATGTTGCACATGATAGCATTATATAAATTAAATCATCGAGATTTAATTTCCGGCATCCAGAGTTCCGTGCTGTAATGTTGTGTTGGAAAAACTAATATTTTTCACATGATGGCACTATATGAATTAAAAACCTTATAATGGTAGCTTAATTGGTTAAAGTAACAGCACGAAATTCTGTGGAATTTAAAATCGATATTTAACTTATATAGTCTTATCATGTATACTACGTCTTATGAGTGCCCTTCTTTACGTAACGGGACACGGCGTCTTTATTTAGCTTAGGTTTTGTAAAAAATCATGAGATCTTATTAAATTACAATTATATGAAAATAATGCTTCAGTGTGGTGGTGGTAAAATGCTCGAGCTTCGAGTTAAATACATACCACATAGCCTCTGGAAGCCCTTAATGCGACGGTTTTTGAAGAATGTATGTTGCTTTCGAGATATTTGCCGGCTCGCAGGTCGTAGAACATTAGTAGCCCTGTTCAAATGAGTATGATAATGGTGCGGTATTTCATAAAAATAGCACCAAAAACATTAAGTAAATACAAAAATTGACATGACTGAGTGAACGGAAGGATTATTAAGGATTTTTCAATCGTAATTAAATGTCAGTTTTGTATGTGTACTTTAAGATGTCCATTTTAATGTGAAATAGACATACAAACATGATCTATAAAGGAACGCTGGAAAAGCTATTTCAATGAAAATATATGAAAGTTTTATACCAACCTAACCCAGTCCCAATAGTGAGAAGATCACCACGGAAAGTGGCTGATCTGATGCCGCACCCGTTGTACCGTGACGTGATCTTCTTCACCGACTGCAAAGTGCGGCAATCCAATAGCAGCGTGTATGACTTGCAGCCAATTGCGTATATACCGCTTTCCTATAAACATTATAAGTCTTTAATTATTCGTAAAAGATTCGTATATCCTATATAATTATTTTCCTTTCCGGACACTGGTAGAAGACCAAGTTATCAGTCCACATTGTCCGCTAACTAATACGCCAATTTCGATATATCAAGTTCTGTGTCATATTTAAACTTTCCGGGTGAACATGAGGGTTAGACAAATAACAAACTACCTGCGTAGCTAAACAGACGAGATCCTGGCAAGAGGGTAGTTTGCGCGAAAGCGTCTGTCTAAAGGTCGCCGCGTTGAACACGTGTATGTAGCCGTTCAGTGTCAATGCTGCTATCTCACTCCACCGCTTGTTGAATGTTAGGGCTCGGACCTTTTGACCTGTCAACAACAATGTCAAATACAAATAGCAAATTAAAAAAAAAACTAATAGCAATCATTAATACCTTATTAGAAATGTTAATAAAAAAGGTAATAGGTAAGGGATTTGCATTTATAAGATTTCTTACTCGAATTTGTGTAGACGAAAGGAAGAGAGTTTAGCTTCTATCAGCAATAAGATAACCAAATAGGAGATAGTATTTACTTAAATGTACAATGTGTATAAGAAGGGTCAATCACATCTCTGCTTTTTTGTAGAGATTTATTTAAGAGGTTAGTAAATTATGAGTCCCGCCCCGTTTGTAAGTTGAAGATACAAAAATGAATTCTCACCAGCTTTACATTCCCGCGTTGCCACCGGTGCAACATAATCGTGTTGAGGCGTAGCGTGGGGTTGCGTCGGAGCCTCTTCTGGTGCACGCCACAGCGCCAACTTCGAATCTCTCGAACCCGTTACAAGAAACTCATCATCCAGCCAGCACATGTCTAAAATCTGTAATTATAAAATGATTACTACATTCTCTATACTTTCCGGTTGACATTAACAGTCATAACGTTCTAAGTTTTAAATTAATACAATTTTATTTCAGTTTGAAAGTTCCATGATATGGTTGGAACTTAGATCACTAACAGCGTTAACCATTTTTAATATCAGTTAAAACAATAATCAAGTACATCTACTTTGCTATGGTTCTTTTTATTTTATGGTAATTTTATTAATGGTTATCGATGTTTGGCCATTCCAATTGCATGGAACCAATAACCATCGGATGATTTTGTAAGAATACATACCCAATCCTTATGAGCTTCTCCCACGCAAACAGGATCTAGTGTTGGCAGGCGATATATCGCTAACTCGCAAGAATTGCGCGCACCAGTTGCTAATAACGTCCTATTGTAACACAAAAATGATAATCAGACACATCCAGTCATAGCAATTAGTAATATAAAATAGTGGCATGTTAGTAGGTGAGGTTTACAAAAACTTAAGTAATCTGCATTAATATTCTACTGGCTTGAAGTATATTTGTCTAGATGCATCCGTGTAACCAATATTACGATAGTTCGATTCCCGAGCACACAGCATACATGTTAAAAGTACACATTTTTATACATGTTAAATATAGCCATAACTATAAATTATTAATAGTATTTTTGTAAATTCAAGGTTTTAGTAACCTTTACATACATTATACTTTAAAAATCTAAAATAAATTTTAAAAAATTTCAACTCGGGCAGGACTTGAACCGGCATCAACAGGGTTCAGTGCTGTTGCTCTACCAATTGAGCTACCGAATCTATTTACGATTTTTAAATAAAATAGTGCCTTGATGTGCAATAACATGTAAGATATAATTAAGTTTTTATACATTATACTTTATAAAAATTTTGGTTTGAAGGTAAAAGTAAAAACATCCAAATATATTTGGAAGCTCTTAAAGATAAAATAGAATAATTACCGAGATGGATTTATCTGCAGCGCATGTATACCAGTCTGATGTTCAGCCCCAGGCCAAGGGGTGCGGGGTCGAAGAGTTGGAATAGCGTCCAGCGAACGAGACCGGACGTCGTATACCATTAACTGTAATTTCAAACCATGGATTAAAAAATATTAAATTACACTAGTAACATATATGAGAATTGTTTTATACACCCAAAATATAAGGACGGATACTTTTTGCTTGTCACCTTCTGTAGCAAAATAAAAATTATTGACAAATAAATTACACTCCTATTCTACCTTATTGCACTTAGTTCCGAAGACGACTTGGCGGTCCGAAAGCCACTGTGAGCAGAACACTTTATTAAGAGTTCCAAGATTGACTGGAGACTCACGGAACATGTCATGGGTGAGCATGTGTCTGGTGGCATATGATGGGTCCACAGTGCGGGGCTGAAAATTAAAATGAATATCTGATAATCTATAGAGACTTAAACATGTCATCACATTACAATATAAATTCTTTAACATAGTATTATTTCAAACATACCAACATACAATATATGTATAGACTATTTAAATAAATATTATTAAATATACTGTAACTACATATTGCACATGTACTATGTGAAATTGGGTTTTTCAGGATAGTCTAAAATGTTGCAAAAGTAGACTAAAGATATCAGGTTTGTCTTTAATCGAACTCAAGTCAACTTTAGTCGAACCCAGGATTTTTAGTACAGAGCCATTATTTCCAGCATACTTTCGCCAAACAGCATGTTCCCTTATCAGAGCAATTTATCAAAATAAATAAATATGACTTTCATTAGATAAATAAACATAACTATGACACTATCAATATATAAAAATAAAATTGACACTCAATAAAGGGCAAAGTCAAATTTGTAGAGGTCATTAGGAAATGATAATATAATCAGCTTAATAGCATATTTCTGGAAATACTATTGTGGTAGGTAACAAGTGATTAAATTATGATTACATTTTATAGTTAGATCAAGGAATCTTATTTCATAGCATTAACTAGGTTTTTAATTCATCCTTTTTTAATTTCATTCCATATCATTTATATAATACAATATATGTTACTGCACTTTCATTATGTATTTTTTCTGGGAAATAATGTAATGTGTAAATTTATACATATAAAATAAATAATATAAAACAAATTGTGACTGGCAAAACTAGCACTGCAGGGTTGAATAGTTTGATAGCAAATAGATAAAACTATAGAAAATATAAATATTTGTATGTAACAGGACAAGTTTATAAAAATACAACTGATTTACTGAAAACAGCATACCTCAGGTGCTTGTATTTCTCTAGATCGTACATAGTCAACAAAATTATAAGAAGTGCAGAGAATCTTGTGCTGTTCTGTTGGTGTTTCCTCCTCACTGTCACTGTCGGAGTAGCAGACAAAATCTTCTGGCTTTTCAGGCTTGCGCTGTTGTTCTAATCTATATTAACAAAATATCAGAATTAAGATTGGGATTTGTGCAAATTAACAAGACATTTGGCATTTCAAGTTCTTATAGACATTACAAGTAGATAGCGGTTGTATAATGTCGCAACATTTCAAGTAGCTCTGCAAAATGGTGAGAGAGCTTTATACATTACATATATTAATATAGTAATAATTTAAGGGTTGATTTTTTTTAAATACAATATATTTATAGGTACCTGACAATAATTATAAAGTTTACAGCTAATTATTAAAAATATGCATTTGAATATAACCTATTTGGCATGAGTTCATACAAATACAAAACAATCTGTTTCAAAACTAAAATGTTTCACATTTTTTCAAATAGAACAAATATTTAATTGGCTTCTATCATGCAAACCTCGACATATATACAGTATAATAAGAAATTAAGACTTAACAGTAATTTAGTGTAATAATTAACACAATCTGTCAGGAATAAGTTAAGAGATCGTAAAAGATATAATTAATGACTATTAATTGCAATGCAATTATCAACATTGTATTTTGAGATTTTCCTAACACAAGTAATACAAATATTTAAATAAATAATTAAAATAGTAAGGTGTTAAACAAAGACATATTGATTGGCAACAAAAATATGAGGTCACGTATTCGTGTCATTGATCTCAAAAGAAATATTTACATTACCTCAGTGCCCTTGCTTTTGCTCTTCTCTCCTTTATCCTGTTAGGTATATAGCAAGATGGATACCTCGCTTCGATGGCACGTCTTACTGTTTGAGCCATCGTTATTACAAAATAAACTATATTAATACACTAACGTTAATACACGGTCAACTACAAGTCACTTTCGTTTTGTTCTGTTGTACACGGAGCCATTGCAAGACATGTTTCATTATAGAAATCTAGTTCCACCATCGATACACATTGAGCACTTTCGAAAACCTGCTGCGTGTTATTGGGTTAGCATTACGAATACGCGAAATATTTATTAAACTATCTTATTAGTTATATATTATAGAATGGAATTCGTAAAATTCACAGCATCGATCAATTTTTATGTAAATGATATTCAAAACTAAAAAAGTGACAGATATACAAATTGTCAGAATATGTCAGGTGTCAAATCAGGTTTACTACAGATTACATAAAGCACTGTATGTAATTGTATGGTTTATTTCAAAAAATACATATTTATTTAAACATAACTGTAAAAAAATAAATGTTATAAAACCTATTTTACATTATAAACTATATAATTACGTCTCTCAAGTTATCAAAATGATAAGTTCAATTTTATGATTAGATGACACAATGATCAACTAGATGGCGCTGCGAAAAATGTCTCGATTTTAAAAAGCCCAGAAAAAATATATTCGACGATAAAATAATACAAAAGCCAGATACCGCCTTTTATTTTCTGCTCAAAATATTCGTAGGTATTTTATTTTTAATTACCTAATAGCTATGCTTTTGAACGACATTCTGTAGGTACATACTAAATTAACCTAGGAACCCTATATTCTCAAAGAACTTTTTAACAAGGGCATTTTAATTTTATATTTCTGAGTATTGCGTAAATGATATTGAGTAATTATTTAAATGCGCATGTCATAAAAATAGGTCCATGGGATTCGTACAATTGTATTAACACCTACAGATAAAACCAAGTTTCAGAATTGCATTTTATATGAATATTTTAAATTTATGATGAGCTTAGCGATTGACTTTTATTTAAATTAATAAATCTGAAGGGCAACTCCTGTATAATAACAATTAAAGTTTTGCTTAATGTAGGCCCTTAATATTAATTGGAAATATTTTAATGCCTTTGTTATATCAAGAAGTTCTTTATTTTTATCAAACATACATTTATTCTCGCTGACTTGCTTTGTTTTATCTCATCCTTAATTTATCCTAAGTATTATAAGGAATTAAGTTAATCTGTAAAATCTGACGCAGCCATTTAGTTTGATATAAACTCGCTTTGTTTATCGAAGAAATGTTAGTTCAACCATTACTGAGATTAGACAAACACTCAAAGATTCCTTACGTCCTAAGCTCTGACTCCAAGTATATAAAGTTGTTTAGTTACTAAGATACTACTAATACAACTTGCTCTAAGAATATGCTGATCATTGTAAATCAGACATTAAAAAATCGAATTATTATAGAACTGCTGTCTTTATGGGTATTATTATGTATTATTAGGTATTATTAAATAATATTGTATGTAGTAGGTATGTATTTATAAGTTACATAAATCTTAATAAGTTTGTTCAACACCTTTTGTTATACAGAAGTAAAATGTTACTATGTAATGCCAATTGAAATATTAAATTTATTACCGTGAACTTATATAACTAGCTTTTATATATTTCAATTAAAAAGAATGTAACATCCTTAATGAACAAACATCCTGTGTGGGTACTTTACCGTAATAAATCTATTTACCTATTGATTGACCCACCGCTCGATTTATATCATATAACTTAAAGGGCAAACGTTATTTCGACTTTTAACTCGAAAAATCAATGCAGCAGCTAATAGCTTTTTAATACAAGTTTTAAATGCGATTCTAGGAAAGGTTTGCGCGGGTTACTCGTTTACTTTAACTGTTTGTTGATTTTTATTTGATGCAGTATTCATAGCAAATTTAAGGACTAATATATAGCATTTATTTAATACGGAATATGATGATTTATTTATTTTCTAAAAAAACTAAATTAGGCATGTATATAGATTAATAAAATTCTTTATTTAAGATTAACTTATGATATGCGTATCCTAGTGTACATTAATTTATTAATGGCTTACAAATGAAAGAAAACTTTCAAAATGCTCCAAGAGGTCATTGAACCGTCGGAGGCGCCGCTCAGCCGGCACTCGGAAATAATAAAACTTTATTGGCCCCATATCAAATACCTGCACGACCCGTCGCTTTTCAATTTTCGTGGAAAACTGCGAAAATGCATTTAATTGGCTTTTTCATTAGACAGGCTTCCATGTTCGACGCCTGTTAGCGCCATTATCTGAATACGGTCTGTCCGCCATTTTCTTCAGCAATTTACTAGTAATGTATAACCTTGAAATAACATTTACAACAAAACAGTCCGTATTCAGATTACGTTACTGAAATTATAAAAATCGCTAAGTTGATATTATATAAAAATTATCCCTGTTATATAAACATATTTTACTACGTTCAGATATTTTAAGTTTAAATCCCAAAAACTTCGCTGGGCTGGCCATTTGGAGAGAATGGGAGAAGATCGGATCAAGAAAGCGTATATCGGAATTCCAACTGGCCGTCGACCTGCCGGCCGGCCAAGATATCGCTGGAAGGACGCCGTGGAGAAGGACCTGCGCGAGCTCGGTGTAGCCGAATGGCGAACAGCCGCACAGGATCGGCAAAAATGGCGCTCTTTAGTTTCGGAGGCCAAGACTCACTTTGGGTCGCTGCGCCAGCGGAGTAAGTAAGTAAGATATTTTAAAGCGGCCCATAGACAACCAATATTATTGTGCAATATGCCGAGTTTTACAATAAAACTGATTGTGTGTAGACCACATTGAAAGGTTGTGCAATATGTTGCGTTAAATTAAAATCTGTGAAAATATATTGTGCAAACGGGAAAGCACGATGCCGTCCACCGTCAATATTACCCCCACACAATTAAATTTATTGCACAAACCAACGTTTTGTACAATAATATTGAGCGTCTGTGGACACCAGCTATATAAGCGATTTCACTTAATGTCTTGTTTATCTGTGGACGGTGGTTCGTGACCCGGACGGAAGTTCGATCCCATTTAGTATCCAGATTTCGAGACGAAGTCCAATATGTTTCAGAGAGAAATTTAAAGTGACTGCAGCGACTTTGTCCGCATATAATGGTTATTTTGGGCGTCCAACATTTGTTTTTGCAAACCTCCTACATCTTCATAAATTATAGCTACTACCGACGATGTCGTTAGCGTCCCGTCGTTATTGCAAGCTAATCTTAAAAGAGAGACACATTCTGTAAGGAACATTTTAGTTAATCTTTAGGGTATCCCCTAAACCGTTGTCGCAGCGTTCACAAAATAATATTGTGTCCCGTTTTCTCCACATTTTCCACTGATAGTACTGTTTCTTCGCTCCTATCGGGACCGCAGGATGATGTTTTGATGAATGTACAAATCGGAACAAAAAGATTTTTTAATTAAAACTGCAGTTTCTAAGATTAGCACGTTCCAACAAAGAAACAAACTCTGCAGCTTTATAATATTAGATAGACCCCCACCGGGTCCAACATAATTTATACTAAATACTGTCTATACTTTACGCGAGTAGTACACATTTAAATAAACACTTTAACGGTTTAAAATGCGATATATTAGTGAAACTTATTTGAAAATGATTTTTACTTCGACCCGGGTCTCCCCGTGATTGCGGCTGCTGCAAAGCATCCGAAACGTCAAGGCGGAGTTAAAAATCGTTTTCAAATAAGTTTAACTAATATATCGCGTTTTAAACAGTTAAAGTGTTTTATTTAAATAATTTATACTAATTTAATTTTTAACCCGCCATTAGACTATTGAGCACGTTCAAAAAAAGTCAAATCCGTAACTAGTTTTCAGCTCTATAATCATAAATCGTTTTTCGTCCTAAAGATATTAATATCAATAGGCCGTGTGTGTAAAAGCTACAAATGAGTGTGTAGTGTACTTTTAATTTGATCGTTTATATGCCATTGAGTACCGAAGTAATTTCGTTTCCGTCATATGTAATTATACATACAACCGCAGTGAATTAATTATTGCGGTCAATTGAATAACTCCCAATTTGTGGCTCAACAGCGGCTCAAAATGTTCAATAAGAATGTTGACTATTTTTGAGTAAGTTTTGAATTATAGATAGGTTCGGTTAGTTCAACCCCTAATATTAACATTTTATTGTTTAACCATTTAAAAAGGCCATTTTTTTAATGTCCGGAAACATTATATTATCGTGAACTTATGACGTCACGGTTGCATAACATCGAGTAAACTCTTAGTGGAGTTAACGAAAAAAAATTAACATGAGGAAATACCTGAAAACTTATTTATTTATGTCCCTTGTTCAGTTATATTATTATTAGTTTATTATTTTTTATTAAATTATTAGTTTATTATTTTAAATATAAATAAAATTAAGACAAATTATTGCAATAATCTGTATTTAAATAAAACACTTTAACGGTTTAAAACGCAATATATTTCAGTTAAACTTGTTTGAAAAGTATTTTTAACTACGGCTCCACGAGACTCCCCCGTCGGGACTCTCCGTGACCACGATTGCTGCAAAGCATCCGAAACGTCGGGCCACAGTTTAACTAAAATATATCGCATTTTAAACCGTTAAAGTGTTTTATTTAAATATCTACTACTCGCGTAAACTACAGAGCGTATAATCTGTATTTATTTAGCATTTGGATTTTTAAATTATATTGGTAATGTTTGTTTTGTGTCGCTAGACGCCTCGTCGTTCGTATGGCGCGAAATTTTCGTCCTTGTGTCCTCTGGTCAAGAACTTAGAATGGAATATAATTTGCAATTGACTACCTTTTTTTACTCATACAGTATAGATATGTTGCATTTGCACTTTTCCTAAAAGTGAAGTTGTGTTTCACTTTTAGAAAAAGTTAACAGATTTTAGTATTACATGTAATGTTTTCGTGCCACTAAACTGCTTTGTTAAACAATTTGTATGCTTTTAATTATTTCGAGAACATATAAATACGGTAGTACGCTGTACTAAATATGACTGGGCATACGAGATTAGGAGAAGAAGAAGGTCATCGAATGTCCACTCACATTTTTGAAATTTCTTACTTACACTCAAAATGACATTTATAATATAAAATTTATAACAAGTAGGTAAAGGTCAGTCAATTTGTAATATGCATAAAAATCAACATAACAATATATTTTATTTTGCGCTTGTAAATGTAACGTAAGCATATAATTTACTGCTGTCGGGTATTTATTTTTATTTTCCTTTAATTTTTACTAATAGAAGAGTCGCACTCGCGCTCGAAGAATTATTGGATACCGTTTGGACAATAGAATTTTTAATCAACAATAGAGTAAGTAAGCAATTAAGTATTTCGTGCATATTTAAAATGTCTGTCTATTTTTATGTGTCTATTAGTGATTAGAAGAATTAGTATTTTATTATACATCTGTATGTAAAATCACGTTTGTTGCGAGGGACTTCCTAAACCCTTACACTCTTATTACAAAACAAGGACTAACCCTGGAACCTGGTTGAAACCCTGGTTTGTTTGACATCCTTATTACGTTTGTACTGGACTAAGTATGGTACTAACTGAAATTAATTTAAACCATGGTTTAAGAGTTAAACCAAGACTCCGCAGTTCTGGTATAATTTATTTTTGTAATATGGCCATTAGTGTCTAGCAATCACGGGACTTGAGAAATAATGCATTTGTTTGGAAACGAAATGAATATACGGATAATTTGCGTGAGTCGAGATTATTGTATACTTTCGAGAAATGTACAGCAACACTTCAACGAACTAATACCACAAAATATGTACGTGTCATAATATAATCTTTGAGTACTAGGAAAACACTTGCATATGACCCCTGTCCTAAATACTTTTGCAAAGTATGTTAATTTAATTCAATATATTCATCATCAGATATACAATGCTGTCTGACTTCTTGCTTGATAACAATTAAAGAATTGAATTTAATAGTCGAATATTAATAACTTCACCTGTGTACCAGGATCTTTTTGTAATATTTATCTGTAAAACATGATGAATCACACTTTTCCCACGAGGAACATTCGAGAAAGACAGAGTTCTGTGTCTATTTCACTAAGACATTTTCGTTTACAGATTGATCAGGCTTTTAGGCTCTGCTATGATATGATCCCCGGATCCAAACCTATCATCATCATTAAAACGCATTGCGTTTAATTATGGAGGTACAGCGTGGCCTGCAAAATAAATATTTATTTACATAATGAATAAATCTATGCTAATATTATAAATGCGAAAGTTACTCTGTCTGTATGTCTGTCCGGCTTTAACTCTGAAACTACTGAGCCTGAAAGAGATAAGCTGAGCTTTTTAATGCCAAAAAAAGGGTTGATAGGAGTTGAAAAAGGGGATGAAAGTTTGTATGGAAATCCGTGGTTTTTGAAGCTAGAACAATGAAACTTTCTTCATTGGCTTTTTGGGAATAGGAGTGGGAGTAGGCGTGGGCCTAGGAGTGAGAATGGGAGTGCGAGTGAGGTGAGGTAAGAGTGTTGCGGCAAAGTAGCATAGATTGGCTGCCTTTAATGTGCCCTTAGATAAATTAATAAACAGCCTCAATAATTAAAAATCCACCCCAAGTCACCATTCCACGCGGACGAAGTCACGGGCACAGCTAACTATATAAAACTACAATCATAACAATGTTTTTTGTAGACTAAGGAGAAATGCCAATAAATAATTATTTACATTGAAGTGCCCTAATTAGTTTATCGTAAAATCAGCTGCAATCGTGATGCGTCAGTAATTTAAGCTTTGGTACAACGGTTAAGTAAAATATTACAAATTGTTAAGTCAAACGTTTTATCGTGTAATTAACTTATTTTCGAATAATTTTAAGAACACTTTTTGTCATTTAGTTAAGGATTTTTTTAAATGTATGTGAATTTAATACAATTAAAGATTCAAAATGCAAAGATCTCTTCGTAAGAATTTAATCTTAATTATTTTCCTTAATTGTACAACTTTATATTAATTTGTTAAGTAATAGAGAGGCAAACTATATTAAAACACAATACTATTTTTTATATGAGAATTCTGTAAGTACTTTACAAAATTTTAATTTTCTTTTTTCCTTATTTCATTAATTATTAATTTTAAAGTTTTAAATATCTAGAGGTAATATGCAATTATGAAATAAATAAGTATTTTATCACTTGACTTAGTCTAATACTTAAAAATATTAAAAGTATAAAAGTTATCTAAATCATTTTGACGATAAAATTATTACTGTCGAAAGTTCATTTATTTTCGATTTTTAAATGATAAAATTATTACTTTTCGAAGTTTGTAAGTTTGCAAAAGTTTATCTGTTTTTTACGTTGTGCATATTATTGTATATATTTTATTTTTATAGAGCGATGTTGGAGGCAATCTGGGATCTTATATCTTGTACTCGCACATCGGCTCTAAGCCTATAATTAGTAAGCCTGGGAACAACTTATCCAACGCCCGTTCTACAGTAAAGAAAATTATATTAAGTAAGCTGATGTCCGGGATCAAAGCTAAGATATGTGACATGTAAAATACATGCACTGTACGCATAAACTTATTTTAAAAATATGTTAACTGTGACTTGACGTTTCAGATAACCTCGCGTAAACTACAGACAGTAAGATTTTAATCAGGAAATATAATAACAATTATGCGGGTAGTGTCTTTCGACGGCAAACAAAAAAAAATAGCAGCGTTCTTTAAATTATATGAAAATGAGCAATGAATGCGCCGAGATTCGCGTGAATGATAATTCTTGACGGCTTTATTTCATTGTAAAGTATAAAATTAATTAAAGACAATGCACGTAACCGGATGTTTCACGAATTTATGAGTATATTGGTATATTTATGAATTATAATCTAACATATATATCTAAATTTTGGATTAACTGTGGGATACTTCCAAGAGATTAGAAAATATATTAAATTAAATCTGTGGCCTAATAGGATTTATAGGAGGATAGGCCGGACAGAAACGCGAAGGATTTCGCTGTGTCAAGAGCGCAAGTATTTATTATCACAATTTTATTGTTTTCCAAATACTTTAATTTTACTTTATTGCATAATATTATTTTATAGTAAAGCCAGCATTAATCATAATCTGTGTCAAGGCACATTCTCGAGCTTATATAAAAATTAATAATAATAATGTTAGCCTATTTAGAGTTCTACTTTCCTAATTTTCGTGTAAATTATCTCAAAACTATGTTAAACGAAACAAAACAGCAGTCATTGGGTCCGGGTACTTCGCCGCCCTCTTAAACTTTATATATTACCCAATTTAGCACACAGCATAAATAAATTAAAAGAATACACGTACGTTTGATGTTAGTTAAAAATTGCATTGTAATATTCAAGAAGCAAATACACGTTTTTGTTTAATAATTTACTAACCTCATCTACTGTTATAAAGAACATTATTCGCATTTCAGTTTTAGTCTGTGGTTTTTCGAATATCCCAAGCGCATCTTGGTTAGATCTTATATGGCTGTAGTGTATCACCTACCATCAAGGGAACCTCATGCTTCTCTGTCTATCATAAAAGAAACTTTTGTCGTCGCAAGCGTACCTAGTCAATGCTATAATTCACTGGGCGGGAAAGATAAAGGCTTATTTATATTTAAGGTTGCACGTGTAAATCGAGTCAATTAGTCAGAGACCATAATTGTGTGCGGTTGTATTATATTCGCAAATTTTCTCAACATTATTAGTGGTTATAGTAAAATAATAGACAGCTTTAATTATTAACTTAAGAAAAATGTCAGACGACGAAAATTTGCCGGATTTGGATGAGGTATTTTTTTATATTTATAAATTTAAATTAAACATTTTTAACATTCAACTTTAATTTTGTGTGTGATATCTCGTTTCCCCCTCGTGTGGTATGGGGCCCAACACATTTCTGTGTCCGTTTCACTTTCTTTAACGGGCAAGGAGTTGATTGGACATCTGAGCCCTGCCCGACCGAAACATTTTTTTTGTTTCCCTGGGGTTCGAACCCAGAACATCTCGCAACACAGTGCTGTGCTTTTAACAATTTGGCTACAGAGCTTTAATTTTAGCTCTTAGTAAAACCGCCAATTCTAAAATTAGGATCGTATTTAAAGTATTCTGATATTCAATATTTATCACAAATATTCAAAAGTAAATTTAGCCATACACGAATTTCGATTTTTAAGCGCCAAAAGCCATCCATTTTGATATTTATTTAATACAGGGACAACAAAAATTATAATTGACTAGTTAGTATAGTAAAATACATACGTTAAATGTTTTATTAAAAACCTTTCAATTGGAGTCCTCTATTTGAAATAATCTGCTATTTACTATTAAACAAACTTTTTCCGAAAAAGACTCGGACGTTTTGGTTCTAGTCTTTTTCGGAAAAAGTTTGTTAATTTATTATTATAATCCTCTTAGCTAACTAAATTATAATAATAATAATTTAGTCAGTAAATTGTGTCTTATATGTATCAGATACCGTACAAATTAAAACACCATACAAAATTTACACAAGAATTTATTTTGTTATCTATTTACAGCAACATCTCCTTCCATACAAACATGTTATCAAAGTGAAGAGTAAGAGAATTAGAAATCGAATGTGCGAAGCGTTTAACCATTGGTTGCGAATCCCAGAAGAGAAAATGAGAGAAATTGATGATATTGTAAGCACGTGTCATGAGGCTTCTATTATGTAAGTAATTTGTTGTTACTATACGTATGTAATTGACGCCATCGCCACGATTCTGGCCTCTTGAAAGGTCTATACTACACCAGCGTTCCGATTTAGACTGGATGGGAAAATGATTTTCCTAATTTGAAAGAGGATATCAAAACTCTAAGTTTTGAAACGGATTATGTTGCTTCAAGCGGGGCCCAATGTATTAACGACATCGCAAGAGAATACATGCATTACTTTCGGATACTACGGTGTGTAAATAAAAATAATGTTTTTTTGTCTCTTCTGTTACTCGCTCTACATCAAATTACAGACAAACGATTATAGCATAGAACCAGTACTATACGCTTAGATGTAATGACAGACATATACCACGCTATGTTCGTGTTGGAACGTGCCGATTCTCATCTTTATTTAATTTAATTTAAATAAATTATAAATTGCAACTATCAAAATTTTTAACGAAGGGACTATAATACTTATGGCTCCTATGTTTTATTAATAATACCGATGGCTAATATACAAATCTTTATTATTTCCTTAATGATGTTAATATAATGATGTCCAGTTTGGATGACATCCAAGATGGCATCGAGACGAGGCGGGGAATCCCCGCGGCGCATTGTGTATACGGAGTCCCATGGGCTACCAACACTGTCCTCTACGTCATCATGCTCATTATGGAAAAGTGCTCAAAGCTTGGTCATCCTGAGGTAAAGTAGTTTTAATGTTTAAATAAAACACTTTAACGGTTTAAAACGCGATATATTAGTTAAACTTATTTGAAAATGATTTTTAAATTCGGCCCGACGTTTCGGATGCTTTGCAGCAGCCGTGGTCATGGGGGGGTTAAAGTGTTTTATTTAAATGTGTACTACTTGCGTAAACTATAGATATTATTTATAAGGATTGTATAAGGAATATCTAAAGAATTATTTAATACTTACTAGTAGTTAATACAAAGTTCTTCACGGTTCGCATGCACATAATTCGAAGAATAATTATTTTCTTCTTTAAACTATCTTACGTTTAAACAACTAAATAGAATCTAATAAACGAAGTATTAATTGCTATAAATTAACACCCAGGTTTCACGTCATCATCGAGATGACATTTCAACCTGAAAAAATTATCAGCCCATCTTATAAGACATGTCATGCCGGGACCAAAAATGTTACATACTTTTTGTTCATTGTTCGAATAATCTATACTTTTGAGATTATAATAAACAATTAAACGATATCAAATTAGTAGAAATTCGGTTTGTTATTTCTCCTACTTTTAATTTACCTTTGAAGTCAAATGACCACTGAGCCGGTTACTCTTGACATGAACCAAATATTCTGTATGAACATTCTCGGTACTTGCCTGTCTATTTTCATCCCGATTTCTAACAGAAAATATTTCACCAACTCGTTCAATTTCCTAAGATAACATAAGGCAAAAGTCTATCACAGATTTGTGCCTACGAATTATATTTATGACTGAAGTCATAGTCGTCATTCTATGGTTATTTTTTAGGTTATTATAACTCGATTCAAATTTAGAATTTTTTAAAATTAATCAAATTTATATTTACGCAATATCTAAGAAGGTATTTATAAATATCGCAATACAGTGGTGGCTACTGTATTAAAAAATGTATTCTACATTCAAATACCGGTCATCAGCAATTAATGTATTAAGATTATTTTGGCTAGGAACGGTAGGAGAGCGGGCTTACAAGTATAACACAAGTATTTTGTTAATGACTTTACACTTTAACTTTGATATTTATTTTTGAAGGCTATGCAAGTATACAACGAACAGACTTTGGAAATGGCGAGAGGTCAGTTCAAGGAGATTTATTGGAGAGATAAATTTATTTGCCCCACTGAGGCTGAATATAGAAAAATGACGAAACAAAGTTAGTACACTGTTATTAGTTTTTTTATGAAGGTCGAGAATCCAGATTGATTCAGATAGGGGAAGTCCTGGTTTCGTTTGTGTAAAAACAATATTGTATTGGTAAGAAGAGCAAAGAACGTTAAAATAAGATAGATAACATTTTTAGAATTTATACTCAATAGTATCTTCTGCTAAGTGACGATTTGTTAAGCATTTTGAATGGAGGAAATAAACCTACTATCTTGTATTTACATTATAACTTGTTCGGTTTTTTGATTAACACCTGACAGGTTTTGCAATACTCACTTGCAATAATCGTATAAGCTTGACATTATCAAAATATAAATCATTTTTTAAAATTGCACGTGATTCACATAAAAAGCATATAAGGAAAAGATAAATGTTAAATACAAGATATGCGTTTTTATATCAAAAATCCGTTGATTACTCTGAAGTAAATTTTATAAAAAAAGGGTCATTTCATCTTCATGCATTAGTCATAAAAGTTAATGAGACTTGCGTTCATAAGTTTTAAACCTTCAATTACCTCCGTAGATTTTGTGCAATTAAAAACACACTTTTTGGCTTAATTTTTATTATTAATAAAACCAGTTTCAAATCTTGATATTGTTAATTTAAAATAGTTAAATTATGAAATAAAAAATAAATATTAAATAAATACATTTTGTAGAAACTTATCAACAATGTAGGCTTTTAAAATAAGAACGCGTTTCTTTACCTATTATATACCTTACAAAATTTATTTACTGCCATTAACTTTTTTTTTTAATTATTGACCGTCTGGTTATCTCAATGATTACAAGTTTGATATTATGTTAAGGACGTGGGATTCTAAGATCGAATTCCGGGTAAACAATAAAGAAGCCAGGGCAAGTCTGGTAGACTACTGTTTTGTAAATACAAAACTATAGCAGTGAAACGCACACAGAAATGTGTTCAGCATAGGCAGCAGTTGTTCTGGCTGTTCAGCTGATGTGAGCTAGAACAAGTTCTTGACGTTTCGATGTACGTAGAATCTTCAAGCAATCGAGAAGTTAACATCATGATGCCGCTCGTGATGGCGAAACGTCAAGAACTTCCTCTTGCTCACGTCGGCCGAACAGCCCGAAAAACAATGATATGCTGAACGATGGCCGTGAAAGCCTTATACAATTTATTAGAAATGTGTTCGTCCTATTCCCGATAGATAATATTGATAGTATTTCTCTCTTCCAGAAACAGGAGGTATGATCAACCTTTGCGTTAGGCTGATGACGTTATTCAGTGAAAATAAAACTGACTACTCACCACTCGCTCTGAAACTCGGATATTTCTTTCAGCTCGTAGATGATTACTGGAATATATATCAACCAGAGGTAAATATATATATATTTATATATATAAGAGAGAGTCGTTGATAAATGGCTATCGTTGTTTCAGGACATGTATGTCTTTTTAGATCGAATCTATTCCTCGTGTAACATTTATCTTTCGCAAATTACCATCGTCCTTATATGGTTTTATTTTGACTGGGTTATACAATAATATTGTACACTTCTTCCTATTACCATATTTGTAAGATGCTAAATAACTAACTACACAATCTAATTAACGCTACAATGTGAAACGAATGCTCAATCTTGTTATTGCTCTTAGCACAAGTGACTTAATTTTTTTGGTATTTGGTTTCCAGAAATTAGAAGAGCGTCCATCTGATCAGGTAAAAAAGTTAAAGACATAAGATGTATGTAATTTATAGCCGTAAACATTCCAGTAATTGAAAATAATAAAATTATACAATTAGATTAGAAGTAAGTAATGCATCTAAGACCAGATTGTTTATTTTTAATAATTTCAAAAAGAACTAACGTCTTTTGAAATTATAATATGAATTAAAAAATATATATAGAAAGACTATTATAATATTAGTATTCATAAGTTTGTAAATAGGTTTTTTTTTTGCAAACTGCGCTATTATCCTTATGAATGATTTTTTTTTAATTTGGCAGGACTTGAACGACTATTATATGGACTTAACGGAGGGAAAATTTACTGTTCCATTAATACATGCTGCGAGAAGCCAAAGGGGAGAGGCTGTTACCAGTATCCTTCTTTAGAATTATTTTTAATCTGTGCTTTTTCATTTTTATCATATCACTAGATATGCAGTCTGTGAAATTCGATCCAAAAGGTAGTCAACGCGGTAATTATTTGGATCGTTAAAATTAACACACATAATAACAGACTATTCATCCATAAAAAAGACAAGTGAAGACACACATAAATATCAATATAGTCTACGCACTCACCACGAAATTTGTAGAAACAATAATTTTCCTTTTTTAATCATCAAGGAGGACAGACATATTGATACATTGATATATCCCTACCATCCATTTAATACCCAGAGAAATTTCCAAGATGTTCTTCTTCGTTTTAGAAATATTATAAATTGCAAAATTAGAGACAAGTTGGACTCGGTGAGTTTCCAACCCACGACCCGTTGATTATTAACCATACGTTGCTACCATTAGACTAATGAGCCCGTCAATCCGCGTTTATCGCGGCGAATACAACTAGTAACTAACTATTTAAATAAAACACTTTAACGCTTTAAAACGCGATATATTAGTTAATTATTTGAAAATGATTTTTAACATTGGCCCGACGTTTCGAATGCTTTGCAGCAGCCGTGGTCACGGGGACATCGCGGGGTATTGCGTTTTAAACCGTTAAAGTGTTTCATTTAAATGTGTACTACTCGCGTTAACTATAGACAGTTTTTAGTAACTAACTAGCCCAACTAACCTACTAAGGTCACAACTTAGACAATATTTCCCTTAACTGAAGCAAAAGGTATATTAAAACAACGACCGACTGATATTACATTAAAACGATATTGTGTTTCCTTGTTGGAGGAGCTCGGAAGTCTGGAGTATACCAGGACAGTCATGATGGACGTGGAGAAGGATTTGCGGAGCGAGGTAAGTGTATCAAAATAAGATTTTAAATTAAATAGAGAAGTGCATGATATGTGAATTCATAAAATGGAAGATTTACCTAGTAAGAAGAAACAAATTTAAAGAAGATTGAATATTCTGGTAATTGATTGCTTACGTTCTTTTTATTAAAAAAAATATGTGACACTACTGGTCATTTACATATATATAATTGTATTTGGAAAAGTGCAACTACTGTCAATAAGAAAAAAGTAGTTAACGATTATCTTGTCAGAACAAAACATTGTGACAAAATAAAGTGTTCAGTTTGCTTTAGATGACAAGTCGGCTTGTTTAGTAGTGAAATCCCATTTCCCCCTCGGGGGCATGGGGCGAACACATTTTTGTGTTCTTTTCACTGATCCGTTCTTTAACAAGCAAGTAGTTGATCAGACATGTGTGCCCTTCCTGGGATTCGAACCTGTCGCGCTTGCTAGGCAATACGTTTCGCCATTTGGCTACAGAGGCAATCTTGTTTAATAGAGTTATTATATTTCTCTCAGATCTCTCGCTTTGGTGGAAATCCCATGATGGATGCTGTATTGGACCAACTTCATAAGTACTGATTTTGAATAGAAAAGAATGTTTCTTTCTATTTAAAAGTCCATAAGACCATTGAGTATGTTCACTAATACGAAAAAAATATTATTATGCTTTATATAATTGTATTTAACATTTTGTATTAAGAATTGTCTTCTAAAGGACATATTATGTATTTAAGAAAATAGGGTATTGTATTTTTTATCTTTGTCACGCTTTTTTCTACTGAAACTTATACGATTGATATTTCACTACGGAGACAATTTTCAACTTAGTGGTATCAAATTAGAAATAGATTATAATATATAGACTAGATCTAGACTCTAGACTGTAAATCGGGCTTAACCGGCTTGCGTAGTAAGGTTCAATGTCGTAAATTTTGTTTCATTTTATAATTAATATAATTCCACCATGTGCAAAATAATAAAGTTTTAAAAATTAATAATCATCTGAAAACATAAACACTATGGACATATATTATTTTATTGATGTATGTGAAAATATAAACGCGCAATGCGCAAACGCCACAATTTCGTACTATTTAACCTCATTTAATTTGCTTTTCTTAGCAAGTTTAAGAATACGAACTGCATAATCGTAATACTATATTGCGAGCATAATTTGAATTAAATTAGAATTTACGGAAAACATTAATTCACGTATAAAATTCATTTTCTTTTGTTTTGTATGTGAGACGGATAAATGTGAGATAGATTTTGTCTAAAGCTATTTAAGTTATTGTTTAATTCAAAGCGGGGTCAAGGTTTTTATGCAATTATTTATTCACCTCTATGTACATATATTTATAAAACTTTTGGATTTATGGAGTAAATAATAACATAAGAATAATGTGCGTTTACATTTGTGTTTCGGTCATAATTTAATCAGATATGAAAATACAAAATTACATTAAGTTGTTTTTTAAAGTAAGTTTAAACAATTTGATCATTGATTTTGGTTATATATACTTCCTCTTTGTCTAAGTAATCTGAATAAGTATCTACCCCACACCTCAGACAAGTGGGGGGGAAAAAAATCCAATTTACTATCTTTCCTTAATAATATACCTTTATTAAATTCACATTTTCAACATTAAAAAAGACATCTTCAAACAAAAATATCTAATACGTAGTTATCATCTAAACTTATATCATAAGCAGTAGACTGGTTATATTTTCTTAAACGCGCTATTCCCAAGAACTAGGGATGAAAAATTGTTTTTCTTTTGTATAGACCATTTATTTTTAGGCTTTATGACACTACATTGCAACAAATAGAAGCGGGGAATCAGTGGAAAACGTGGCTGTCATTGCGCGCGAAAACGGTTCAAGAAACCAAAAAATATGTACGAAGCAATGATTCCTCTTAAACTATCTATAAAATGTCTGCAATACTATATCTATCTTACAAGGTAACTCGAAAGAATAACTTGACGCAGACGACGTCGTGAATAAAAACTACCTAATAAACAGTGAAAATACAAATGCAATGCCGAACAGTGGCTAGTTTGAAGCTCTTAATTGTAATTGCTCGATTCCGACAAGTGAAACCGGGACACTGCGCCAGAAATCCGTATCCATCCGGCATTCAAACTGGCACACGCCCAAACAGGATACTCGCTGTAAATATTTTCAACGTGCATAAGACTTATGTTACTGTTCGGAGTAGCTGAGAATTGACCATAGTCGTCAGTGGTTTGACAATTCTAAATTTATACTTTTAGATGTATCTATGTTACTAGGACGCTTGTAATTTCTGTATTAAATAATCCAAAATGCTACCAACACAGCTGGCTTAGAAGACAGATCAATAGTGACCTTGAGGTCAGCGACCTTTGGAAGGGCGACCCACTCCACAGGCCCTACCTGCCGAATTTAATTGAAATTGGGATTGAGTTACTTCACAATATTCGCGCTTGACTTTGAGTCGAATTACATAAACAACTCTAATATATTGGGTTTGTCTTCAATGTTTTCAAGATAGGTATTATTTTATTTCGTTATATGTTGAATTTCTCTATGGGCTATAAAGGTCATGAGATATATTTATAAATATATATAGATATATATATTTATAAATGGTTAAATATAATAGCTTTTCATATGTCTGAATATTTTTATATAGTTGTTTTTATTGACTGGTCTTAGCTTTACTTATAAGTCTCTAAATTCTGTACACTAAAATAGATAATCCAGATTACAAACTAACATGATTTAGCAACAAATAAAAATCTGATATAGGGTTGCCTATACTATTAGTTGGCGTAAAAAATGTCATTTTGTGTAGGTTTAATACAACGACATACAAATTAGAATTAATAAAAACGCACCAAATAATGTTAATTAAATGTTTTACACTAATCATCCGAAACGTCGGGCCGAAGTTAAAAATCATTTTCAAATAAGTTTAACTAATATACCGCGTTTTAAACCGTTAAAGTGTTTTATTTAAATAAACGAATTATTACAATTTTTTTGCGTAGCACAATATGTATGTCGCAGAAATGTATTCAGAAAACAATTTACGGAGCAAGTTCAGTTTATCTGTTTTAAATTGTAGACTGAGAAAATACAAAGAGTTTGTAATAAAAAAAAAAAATTTTTGACAGCCCTACTCCCAGCAACACAGGTTGCAAACTCCCCAGACATGAGGCAGTTAGTAGGTTACGCATACAAATCGATATTTGTGTAATTCGATATTAATTTAGTGAAAACTGTACACGTTATGTAGGGCTTCGTGCGAGACGACGGCGGAATGGCTTTATTCAATACGGGTCAAGCAAATGTCGTATATGTTGACGGGCCCGTTGGTCTAATGATAGCAATGTATGGCTTATAACCAACGGTTCGTGGGTGTGCTCCCCACCAGGTCCAACATGTTTTTAATTTATCTGAAATATGTTGGACTTTGTCTGGAATTCTGGATATTAAATGGGTGGTAGGAATATGGAAATTCCGTCGGGGTCACGAACCACCGTCCACAGATGCCACAGGCTGGGGTATATCACCTACCATCCTTTTACACAAGGGTTGCCTGGAAGAGATCGCTCTATAAGTCTATAGCAATAAGGCCGCCCATTGCACTCCATAACTTGTAAGAATAATTTGTCGTTATAACTTGTATTATTAAGAATATGTTTTAAGGAAATATGTGTAAATTGCGTACTTTGTGTTTGTGTGTAATGCAATAAAGAGTTAAATAAATAAATAATAAATAGATATATTTATGTCCTAGTTACAGGGTAAAAACATTTTTATATTCTTTTAAATTATCGTTATTATTTAAATGAAGCTAGAGCAGACCTTTAAGCATTGTCTGACAAAAAACTACAACAATTTAGGTAAAATTATTCTATAGCCTTATATCAACAATTTCTCATAGAAATGTGTGAAATGTACTTGTAACATGATGCAGTTTGATGTTATTAGGGTCAGTGAATGCGTTAGTATGCACAGGAATACTACCTCCAATGTATTTGGAGGAAATATTAAATAAACTATACATTTATACTGCAAAGAAGAGAACGGATCTTTTGGGGTTAAAGAAATAGTGAAATATTGTTTGCATATATACCAACCTAACTAACAATATCTTGAAGAAATTTATGTAATTATAAAAAAAAACTCTTAAAATAAAGTTTTAGTGAAATACTTAGGAAGACGGATAGAAAGTCAATATATTTTAATTTTTTTAGTCTTTCAGTCAGGATATCTTCAATGTTATTTGTTTTTAATAACAAACTTTATACCTATTGATTGTTGTCAATAATACGTCAACAGTATGAAAGTTAATCCAAAAAAGTTTATAAGACAGTCCACCCGTGTCTCCCCGTGACCACGACTGCTAATGCTGAATATCTCCAAATAAGTTTAACTAATATATATCGCGTTTTAAACGGTTAAAGTGTTTTATTTAAAAAAAACTTTTACTTCATCGATATTTCTGAAGCATTTATCTCATAAAAGGCAGTGACGTAACAATCAGTTATAATAAATTCAATTTATTGTGAAACGTTTGAATAGAAGGCTTCCAATATCCCCACAAAGGGTGTTAACAATGGCGCCGTCAGCTCCGCATTCAACCGTGAAAATGTCAAACAGGGGTAGTGGTGTGCTGTGTCTATATATCGTAGCTGCTACGAAATTACGTAGTTGTGCGTAGCACACCGAAGACTTGTAGATACTACTTACTACCCGAGGCTGCTAGAGCCAGCGTGGCCTAATAAAAACTTTAATAAGAACAAAAATAATAATGCGCAATTAACTTAGGCCAAAAACGGATTTGTACTCTTATATGTGTCAGAATTATGTTGAAAATTTTCGGCCACTCTTGTAGATTATCATTTTTAAATAAAAATAAATCAAGTCATGAAATTGCAGTTAGACTACTTAGACTCTAGGCTCGATATGCATCCGATTAATTCGTATGCACGATTTCTGTTCGTGAAGTTAAGATTCCAATCCCTGATGGTGATAAGTGTGATCTGCTTGAACTTTAAAATCCAAAAATACCACGACAGTAATTTTATTCCTACACTATGATTGGGATATTCTCTTTCATCCGGGTCATACACCACCGTCTATTTTAGTTATGAATATTAACTTATTCACTACAAATTTTACGGCCCGATGTGCATGCTTTGAATAAGCAGTGATGGTTAAATATTTTATCAGAAAAATGAAGTTATTTAAGAGTTGATAAGTCTCAATAAAAATCTAAAGTATATACAGTAAAAACAAATCATGATATTGCTATAAAACGAAGGTGACTCGATATTGTCACATACCTAGCTTTTGATTAGAGCTCGATACCAGACACGACTGCATTGTTACAACCTGTCGCTCTAATGTAGAGTGCCTTTTCAACACTTTCAAACAGTTTTCTATAGCTAATGTTACGTAGTCTAGAATATTCGATAGTTCCTACTTGTACAGAGTTTAGATAATTGTTGTGATAATTTTAGCTTGGAATTTATGAAGTATTAATTTTTTTATATATCGTATAAATTATTATTAATTTTCAATTGCTAGTGCTCTAGGTAGCTATATTTAAATTAAACAAATTAACGGGTTAAAACGCGATATATATTACCTGAAAAATATTTTTAAATTCGGCTTGGCGATTTGGATGCTTTGCGGCAGCCGTGGTCACGGGGAGACTAAAGATGGAGGATGCCTCGATGCAAGTAAACTTGCAACAATAAATCAAATTCCGTGTAAAGCGCGCGTTTATTTATTGAAAATATTACAAATGGAATCATTTAGCTAAATGTTGATTTTTCTGCCTACCCAATAAGAAAAAAACTATCTTTTCTCGCAATCGGATTTCTTCTCCTGTTATTTTAAAAGTAGCAAAGTTGTATCTTCACTATTTTGCAATGTATTTATATATTGACGTTACTTTAATATAATCGTTATCTACAATAATAAGACTAAAAAAATACAATACATTATTTATTTAGGTAATTGTTTTTAAACCAAATATTTTGATTTAACCCATATAAGTTAGGTTTGTTAAATTACAGGAAAAATAAATAATTCAATTTAATAAGTGAAAATAGGCGAGGGCTACCAGCTCTTACAAATATTTAAATTATTATTTACACGGTAATTAAGAGACTGAACATTTTCAGGTTTTGAAGACAATATTTTGTAATAATTTTCTAACAAAGTCCAAAGTTATGTAACCAACGCACGTAATAAAGACTTTTTCAATCACGTTGAAACGCAATAACACCAAGAGACAAGTTATATTATACTTATTACTTGGCAAAGTGGAGTTTCAATTAAATCGTTCATTTAGCGTCGCCCTGGGCATGTTTTCTTTGAGTCCTACATCTAGAATGTTATTAGACACTATATTTTATCTGAAACTCGTGGATGCCCGCTACATTGAGCGTGTATACAGTTTTAATATTATGGAAAGTTTTTCAGAAAAGATTTTTTTATAGTATACAAGTTGAGACCGTCTCTGTATTCAGTTTTACACGTAAGAAAAACTTTTTTGGGCAAAGTGGGCACAGAAAGTATTTATATTTAAATAAAACACTTTAACGGTTTAAAACGCGATATATTCGGCCCGACGTTTCGGATGCCTTGCAGCAGCCGTGGTCACGGGGAGGGTCTTCCCTTTTATTTAAATGTATACTACTCGCGTAAACCATAGACAGTATTTTAGTATTTATATTTTCGAAAATGTTATGAATTCGAATACTCGTTTAATTTCTCTTACTTAGGTTCTCATACTGCTTTTTAACCAGGAAAATAATTAAAAAAAAAACAGTATATTTTACCTCCTCTCCTGACAAAACTCTACCTAATTCAAAAGTAACAAAATTTCTGAAAAGATTATCGTTATAATTGAATTATCTCAGAAGTACAGATTCACTAACAGTTTTATTTTATGTAGACGTATAAAACTAGTTAGCTTAATCAAGCCAGCTTACTCTGTTTACCTTTGTAGGAAGCAATCAGTTTGATTTTAATAAGATTAAAAATGCGCTTTTCTAAGAAATATTCAATGTGCATAAAACATTAAAAATATATCACTATACTACGTTTTGAAAACTTTAATATTTTTACATGTTAAGGATGGTATTAAGAAAAAAATAAGATTCCGTTCTGTTGTCCTAACCATTGATTGACGGTAGATCAGATATAAGTTGAGATGTATAAATAACGTTCAATCGAATCTTAGATTTACCACTAGACGTCTAGAATGAACTAAATTACTAATATCAAAGCATCGTACTAGAAACCAAGACCGCAGACTCCCAACCAATCAGCAAACAGCGACTAGTCAGCGGTATAATGTTATAAGAACTCGTTAAACCCCACTCCAGTCGAGTTCTGGCACTGCGCCAGTACAATATTTTAATGGCTACACTTCTATTGATGTTATGGTTAGCTAATCCATCAATGCATAGATGATGCGAGTTCTTCAAATTATTCATTTTAAATATGTTTGAAATGAAGAGATGACGGCCTCAAGTTATCAAACACCTGGGATGTCATATTAAAAACCCGGGCAGTTTCGCCAAATATCAACTACGAAACATATGTCGCTAGCTAGGAGTTTTTACTTTGATATTAGAGACACCCTCCATGTTTAGTCTCTCCGTGACCACAGGTGCTGCAAAGCATTCGAAACCTCGGCCGTATTTAAAATTATTTTCAAATAAGTAACTAATATATTTAAAGTTTTAAACCGTTAAAGTGATTTATTTAAAGGTGTTGAAAATATCATTTGCATTTTATTGTTTGAAATTTAAACTGATTATTCCTCGTTCATTCGTATAGTATAAAGTGAAGTCAGAGACAAGACAAAGTCCAAGAACACATAAGCGTCTACTTGATTCATTTGTCCCCGGGTTGCCCCGGTCACCGGTGCCTGGATATCTGAAATATGAAACCCTATTTGTTGCACACCAGAGGGAGCAGGTGCTGGGAATTTTTCACTGTATGCGAGGCTAAAGAGTGGCGTTAAGCCCCGCACAACTTGCGAGGAACAAGTGCCTGCCAAGGAGGCGTTGCGCATCGCGTTGCGCAGGAGTATATATTTTTTTGTATTTCCAAATACTAATTAGCAATGCAATTTCTTTATTATACATAAAATAACTCTTTTGTATTCTTAAGAACACATCAGGAATTCATTAAATTCTAAATTATGACATATATCGAAAATCGGTAAAAAAAGTTATTCAAAGTTTTCTTAAAGGCGAGAAAGATGACAGAGCGTGAAATAAATCTTACGCTAAAGAGATTAATTTTTTAAAGAAGCTTAATAGACTTATGCAACAAATATGGTAAAATATAAGTCCCCAGACGATGCTTAGCTCAATGAGAAGAGACAATGTTATGTGAATTTGTTAGCTTCAGAGATGCACTTGGCGTCTCGCCAACACATATTTTACTTTACAATGCCGGAGTAATGGTTTTTGTTATGGATTTGAGGTTCTCTAGTCATTTACATGATTTAATAGCGGAAGAAGCCATTTATAATGTTTAGCCTATTAAGATATATTATTATGTAAATAATGGGACAGGTGGGCCTCGTACCTACAACCAAGAGAATGCCGAGGTAGTATGAGTTTATATAAGTTTTTATTTGCAATATAATTGGCACATAATAATATTGATGTTGCTTTTGAAGTGTTATTTTGTTTGTTTAAGTTTTAATTATTTAATAAAAAAAACTGGGTGTTTTATATTTGTCTCATTTGAAAGATTACCTGGGAAACATGTTCCACAATTTATATGTAATAGTTATTTAATGATATAAAGACTTTTAAACAGAAAAGTTTCGCGTCTTCGTACCGTATATATACACAAATCTTATTTTCTACAAGTCATAAATTCATTTGCATATAATTCGAAAACCTTCATAAAAAATAATATCGTTGTCGGCTTAACATAAGTCTATTTTAAATACATGAGTTAATTTGAAAGATATTAAAAGAAAAAGAGACGACGACTTAATTCCAATAAACAAAAGCGTAACAAAAAATTTACAATTCTTCCACAGTACGTACAATGTTAGAATAATTCGTTGCATTTTCTCCCGTAGCTTTTGGAATAGCGCCAAGTTATTTTTTACTTGGCACTCAAGTTACAAATTAGGGATTCGTGTCAGATACTCTTGTAGTTTAAATCATATTTTATTATCTGCACTGACCTACTAGTTTTATGACTGTCGGGCTCATCTTAAACCGCATACACAGCTCGTGAGTCTATAAAAATTAGGAGTTCTGGTTTACAAAGGTAATAGAAATAAAGGAACCCAATATCAATCAATGATATTACGGCGAATAACAATTTGTACTGATTATATTGTTAATATCATTGGAGTAAAATACAAAATGAAAGCTTGAGGACGCGATTCTAACTCACTATATACATTAAATTGTGTTTTTCGTCGCAGGCGCATCGAACTGCGCGGTTGCCATGGTAACAGTGAGGCGCCATTTGCTAAATCATCAAGCTTTTAAAAATACTTCACGATTTTCTTAAATTTTGGTATTACACCTTTAAAAACCCATTATTTTTTATAAGATCAAAGTGATAGCACCTTACTGACGCCTTACGAAAGACAAAATAAAACAATGATGATAATTCAATAAAGACAAATTACATAAGTCAAATTATTTATTACACGTCCTTGGTTTGAAACTTTCTCGGCTTAATGTTTAGGAAACCACGGAGTCCTGGAGACAAGTGTGTAAGAATGGTGGTCCTCCCTTGTGTAAACAGGTTCGCTTTTAATAGATGGGTCTCCACGAGGCACCAGTTTGTCTCGGAGAACCAATCAATTGAATCCTATTGAAAGTTTTATTAGCATTTAATACAAACGTTAGTTGTAACGTTAAATAGACCGTGACTGTTCGTTGCATTTGGCAGAACGCCAATACAATATGTTAGCGCAACTTTACTATAGAGCCGGTTTCACTTTTGGGAGTTTTATTGCGTTTGCCGGATGTAGATTGATGCATATTGCAGAAGCGGGATTGGTTGGTAAATGTTATTTAATTAAAAGTGTCCGCAATACTTTATTTATTTGTTTGGAAGCAAATTGTAATTCTATCGATACTAAGGTACTAAATGTAATTAAAAAAAAATTTTGTTTTAGAGTTTTTTTCCTCAGTTTTAATAGTCACTTTATTTTGTAGTATATTTTTATTGTGTAATTGAAAAAACATTAAATATATCGTACTAATTTTATATTCTTTTAATATTGTCAAATGCATTCAGCAGTTTTGATTCACTGTTTAAAAATTGCTACTCTAAATACAGCCTTCATGTTATTGCATTTTTAAATAAGAGTTCAAAAGCAATTCAACTTATAAAGCGAACTTCGTATACGAACAAAGTCCCGCATTGTTGAGTTTCAGACTTATCTTACGAGTTGTGACGTGAAGACATTTGACAATCGTTTGTTCACAATGCATTCTAAAATATATTCTTTCTAAGCTCATAAGAGTTTAAGAAGATTGTTATACTTTTACTTTTATATATAATAATACCTATACATATATAGTAGACTCGCTCGTTGACGCTCTTAAACTAAGCACTTGCAGATAAATGAGTAGCCCTGGCTAATAGTTATTTTAAAAATTAGTACCAAGTCAAAATACTGCCTATAGTTTACGCTAGTACACATGTAAATAAAACACTTTAACAGTTTAAAACGTGCCATATATTAGTTAAACTTATTTAAAAAATATTTTAAGTAATATATATATCGCGTTTCAATCCATTGAAGTGTATTATTGAAATGCAAAGGCTATCATTTTATTTGCCAGGTTTACAAACAGCCCAGCGCAATAAGAATATTGTATGTATGTAGTTTTTGTCTACCATTAATAAAAAGAAGATAATTTAAATATACACTGTTTCGAAGAAAATAATATAATGTATCTGAAATGATAATGAAGTGAAGATATAGATGAAATAGTTATAGAAAAAAGAAGTAAGTATTTAGTAATAGCTTCTAGTAAAATACTATTGAATTTGAATAAAAAATTCGGCACTCGGGCAAGACTTGAACCGGCATCCACAGCGTACCGTGCTGTTGCTCTAACTACTAATGTAATAGTGCCATCATGTCCAATGACGTGAAAATATTAAAGTTTTCAATTGCTTCAAGTTCAACTAAAACAATTTTCTTAAAGTTTCTTAGTGCCGGATAAATTTTTAAAATCAGAGTAGATTTTAAATATTTACCCACCTACAAATATTTTTAAGCTAGAAAATATGCTTATTTTTAGCACGATATTCACCAAACCATTGTAAATAAATACATACAAATACAACTTAGACGTTGTTCCGATACCAAAGCCATTAAAACTCGTGAAACATAACGCAGATACTTAAAACTTGGACAGGCGGGCGGAATTTTAAAGCGGGAATTTGTTAGGAGACCTGTATTTTACGGGACTTTAATTTTTACATTTATCGTGTATTGTTTCAGCGAAATATTAAGAGTTTTTTATAGTAATTCTTGATAGTTAGTTAATCATTTTTAAACGCATATGCGTTAATATAACAAGAATCTTGAACTGAGCAATCGTTACGATAATCTTTGAATTTTTTTATAGTTATAGTAATTTTTGTTCTAGAAAGCCAAGATCAAGAGGTAAATGCAATATTATGCATCATTTACTTTAAATAATATTTACTACTAGCTGTATCAGCGACTTCGTCCGCGTAGAATAATTATGTTTATAAATTTAAGCTATTACCCACAACATCGGTCGCATCTCGTCGCTCGCGACTCGTCGTTCGGGTCCCATCGTTCTTACAAATTAAATATATATCTATAATGTCGCAGACATTTTTCAAGATCATCAAAAGAGAAATCACTCTTTCATACATATTTTTTAGGTGTCCGATAAGGTACAAACTTATCGTACATGTGAAACCACAATCATGAAGTGCAACTTTCTTCTTTAAATCTACAATACGTGACAAACCATGAACAATTGAAGACAAAGGGACTAAAATAATTTAACACACCAAAAACTTCGAAAACGCGTACGTTGGTTATTGATTTTCGCCTCAGCAGCTACCACGCCATTAATAAATAAAACGTCTGAACCACAAACGAAACAGAATTTATTAAAATAACTCTGAATATATTTGAGTATTACTTAAGTGAGGTTAACTTACCTTTTCATTTTACTCAGTAATTAATAATATTTAGCTAGTATATAGTATAGTGAAAAATACGCTTTTGTCTGCCTTTTATTTATAAAGGCTTAAAATTTAAAGTCTGGTTAATCGAAGTTGGATTCGTAAAGCTTAAAAACCTAGAGAAGTGAATACTGTCTGTAATTTTCGCGAGGAGTACACATTTAATTAAAACACTTTAAACCGCGATATATATTAGGTAACTTGTTTAAAAATTGACACTTCTCTCCATGACCACGTCTGCTGCAAAGCATCCGAAACGTCGGGCCGTAGTTAAAAAATGTTGATTCAAGTTAAACTAATACATATCGCCTTTTAAACCATAAAAGTATCTAGAGATAAAGGTCCAGAGCTAGATAATAATCGATAAGAGACTGTTATATCTACTAAAGGATTTCTTTAATAGTAATAAAAGACGTCTAAGTTAAGGAATAATTTAACATCTTAGTAGTAAAATATTATAGAGGTTTAAAACTTCTATTTTTTTAACCGCATTATGATTTAGAAGATTCTACGCTTTATACCGACAAATAACATTTACTAACTACATAAAAATCAATTATGTAAACTTTTATTTATATCTGTTACTGAAATATAAGTTGGCAACGTCGAAGCACTGCTACGCGGTTGCTACGTAAGCTCTACGAATCGTAGCGGCTACGAGAAAATCTATTTTTGTATTGCCGTAGCACTGCAGTTTAATTGAATACCAATGTGGTCTCGAAATAGATTTAAATACATTTGTTCCAATTTCAAGTTTTATGTAGGTTATGTATGTATATATATCATAATATAATGTATATGACATAATAATAAGGACTGTGAACCGTATATACATAGCTAAAATTGATT